TGAAAATAAGCAGTGAAAAGATGAAAGCGACTGTGTAAGTTGTTACTTATCTGACTCCTGTGACACATATGACAACACAGTGACAACACAGTTACCAGGACCGCTGTCTACTCATCAAAAAATGCTGCAGGCTTCTCTCGGAGAGTTGGGGTCCTTTTGTGTGACCGCTTCTGGTCGAGCCAAGTCGTTAGAGAGTGAGTTAAGAATAAACAGCTCGACAAACTTTGTATATTAAAAATAAAGACCTCGGCTAAAGTGAAGAGGAGCGGAGAGGAAGATGGCCAAACTATGAGGCCCTGCTGTTATCAGTGGAATTGTTTCTCCCAGTAAGACATCCCCCATACTGCCCCACAGCATTTATAGTGTGTTTTAAAACGTCACAAACAGAAATCCTAATGAATTAGACTCCAGGATGCCTATATATCTTTGCTTTACAACTACAGCATCAATGGGAGCAAAACAAAGCAAAACAATAGCACGCATTTCTGAGAATACTGTAATACTCTAACTTTACTCCATTCCAGAGTCCTGCACATCTGACCCTACATCCAGCAGCAGTAATAATTTAATTCCGTACCCGGCCCGACCCTCAAATAGATTCCGAGACTGGAAACTGCACACAAATTACAATCAGTCTTCCGCATCAGTTGTACAAAAATGTTTATCGGTTCGCAGGTCACAGAGAATAATGTCACAAGTAGCCTACATAATTTAAAAAAGCATCTATTATCAATTTGAAAAGTACGCCTATGACTGTGTAAATAAATACTGGATAATTTTTTACATTTTTCGAAATTTGCGTTTTGAAAATAAGCATCGCCATTTAGAATTCCAACCGCACCCGTACTCCCAAATTATGTAGTAAGATGTTTTTCACCCGTTACATCAAAATTTGCAGGCCTCCCCCATCTTATAACTGCTTGTCCTGTTCTGGTCCGTGAGTAATGAGATAAATAAAATAATAAAGCATGATGGGAAATAGTTCCAGTGTAACATTCTGACCTCACTGGTATGGGTTTGATTGCTTACAATAAAATGTTTATGTGAAAGTGTATGAAAATAAATAAACCACTGTGTTTCAGTTTCCCAGAATGTATTTCCTTTCCAGTTTTATAAAATGTTATGACCTAAAATGCCACAACAATGAACAAGTGTGTGTTTTACTTTACAGTGAATGAAAATATATTTTTTTCATTAATGATTGAGGTCATTCTTTGTATATTTTTGTTAATGTCATCTTTTTGGAATGTAAAGTTATTCAAATGAATGTGAAAAATGTCTCAAAGACGTCCCTTTCATCCAACCATTCAAAATTCTTTTTCATAGTATGCATTATTTGCATGGTTAGAAAATATTGCTTGTAATGGTTTAAATTAACTGCCAAGTACACAATTTATACATCTAAGTACAGGAACAACTCTGGACAGAGTAGAAAACACTTTATGAAATGCATCTACCTTACTTTATTTGTGAGCCAAAATGTTACAGCAAATTTTGGAACCAAACAATTTCAGTGCAATGAAATAAGGTAAATTAGGCTATGGTAGGCAATAAGGTAGGCTAGTATTTTATTTGCATTTTCAGCTGTCCTTTTGTATTCCTCTCAGACAAATGATATGAAGGTAACTTGTTTACAAGCAGGAAAATGCCCTCCATGGTCACCATGGTTACGCACAATCATATGTGCTTTTTAAACTCTGCAGGGCTCAAACAGGCAGCCAAAGTCCTGTTACACCGTTGAAACACAAGTCATAAGATGCAATGTTTACTTGGCTGCCTGGGGGGGGGAGGTCCCTCGTGATCGCCGAGCAACAGTGTCGCGCGATTAGCATCCACCCAAGCGTGCAAATGCCCGTCCTCCCGAAACAATCACGGCAATGGATCTTCCAGAGGGTGGGGGGCTTGGAGTGTGCGTGTGTCGAACACAAAGCAGACATCAAGGAACCACCGCTGACATCAAAAGCCAAACACTGATTAAAGGAGCAGAGGGGCACTGACAGCTGCAGGCGGCCTCCGCCTTGGGGACTGCAAGCTTCCCGGACGGCCAAGCCCGTTCCTAATTAACTCACACCCAGATTTCATTGTTTTTAATCGCATGATGCTAATTATGCTAAATGATGTTAAACATGAAAGTTACGAGTTTAGTTATAGCTGGTTTATGTTTGGTATTCTTTCTCTGAAATTATTTCCTTTCGACAGACAAATATATTGCACATTTGGCTTGAATTGGGTCGAATTGTTCAGTTTCTGCTCCACTAAAGGGATTTCGAGTAAAACCTCAAATTAGTATAACTGCTGGTCGTAAAAAAAACAAACAAAGAGTCATCTAGCCCTCGGATGTGACTCGTGATTTTACCCTGGAATGATGGTTGTGCTGGGCACCTTGCATATTGAGAATTTTCCCAGTGGGCACATAGGTTTGAAAAAATGTATCATGGCAAACTGTTTCGCTTGGGAAGAGACCACCCCCTTCAGCCCCACCCTCCGCTCAGCCATGGCGGCGGATCCAACAGTCCAGAGCCAGTTTTTATTCCCAGTTGAGCCCTGCCTGGAATTAATTAAATTACACAGGATTCACCCCTTTGATTACATTCAGCCACCCCTAATAGTGTCATTAACTTATTCCCGTCATAAATATCCTCAGTACTACAAGTGCCCATATGTCCCTTTACACTTCATAAGACACAATTCAAGCTTAACTCAAAGTGGCTACTCTGAAGGTGCTTCACGTGTCATTTGAGTGAGTAAAATAACAAACACAAATCCAACTGCCTTACAGACAGCATGCTAATGCTAAAGCAAGGGGGGGGGGGCTGCCTATGATCTGAAATGTCTTATGGGAAATTGTACATATCCTGCTTAACCAGAATAAGTGGTTGACATATGGATGGATGGAATTGTGCACGCGTATCTAGGAGCTTCTGAAGTATCTTATCCGGTCCGATTCATGCAATCCGCAGCAGAATCTGGCTCTTCGGTCTCTTTTGGAGGCCATGTGCAGACTGTGGGAGCTCCAGGTCATGTTACTGGTAGCATGAACAGCTGATGGCAGAGCGATCAGCCTTTTATACGGGGATTTGCAAGCTGTGGACTCTGATCTTGGTGCTGATAGCTGGCAGTCCTCCGCTTCTCATAAAAGTGCCTGTCACTGTGACCGGCTTCTTTGCATGCAAATATGGACTCAACTCCGACCAGCGTCTTCCAAAGACACCACGTCTTCCCTGCCTACGCGCTTATAGCTCACGATCAGACATTCATCCGACACTTCAGACGAGAAATGGATATTTACTTCTCAATGCTAATGCGGTGATATCTTAGGACTTAGAAATGCAAAACCGACGGTCAGGACAAGTAGAGACGTCTGCTGCATATCCATCACAATGCAGGATTCCTGCCAAACACCATTTGGGCCAAAGCTATACTAGGCTTCCTGATTTAATTCCCATTACATATATGACACTTTATACATAAATTCCACAGCTCCTGGTCAGTGTATCCTATAATTACCACTGAGTCATAACAGAGCACCTATAGTGAAAACATTCACTGACAAGGCAACTGGAAATGTTTTTAATGCTGAGCTGAAGGTTAATATCCAGGATGAGGATCAGCAGAACTCAGCTTTACCAGGTTCTTCCCATGAGCGAGGGAAATCAATTATTCTTCAAAGTGCCAAAGCGGGAAAGAGAAAAACGAAGGACGGGAACAATCCCCGCAGTCATCAGGACACAGGATCCTTCCCGTCACCCTGGACTCCCCACAAGACTCCAGCGGAAAACATTTAAAAGCAGGTTTTCTGTATTTAAAAAACACGTTTGGTTCGTCGGTACTAGCTAATGCAGTGTGCAGCAAAATTGGTTACACCACTTCTAAGCAGAAATACAGAGATACAACTCGAAAAAAGTACGAGAGCTCAGCAAAATGTTCAGTTTCACTCATTTCTCAATTTATGGTTACGAGTCTGTGTAAAATATACAGCTCTTTCCTGTTTCTAATTAATGAAGGGCTTCTTCCTTGCTTTAAGGGACTTCAGTCCTGCTTCTAGGAGCCTGTTATGAACTGTCCTAGCAGTGCACTTCAATGTTTCCCATTCTTTTTGAAGGCCACTTGATGTCATCCTCCAGTTCGAGACACTGGTCATCTCAGCCATTAGAAAGTTGCTTCCGCCCTCTGCCTACTTGGTCTTTGGTCACTGCCAGTGTCTCCTGCTTCACCTTCTTCTTGTGTGCTGCCGTCTTAGAAACTGTGAGCCTGGAAGCAGCCTGTCACACTCCCAGCAGAACAAAGAATAAACCAGGATTTTAAAATGCAGATTTTTTTTTTTTAAATAAAGTGGTCTCAATTTTTTTCTGTATATTTCAATTCCTGAATTTCATTACGATTCATGGAAAAGTAACAAAACTAAAATTACACAGTGAACATTAACATAACAGGCTATGTTGACATTTCATATATTGTGTAACTGCTTAAATCCAGTGTTGCACAAATGAGTACAGCTTTGATTAAGTTCTGTAGATGTCATACTTGAGTATTTAACATGCCTATCATCTGCTTTTTAGCAGTGCACCGATACTTCTTGGACTCTTGACAATCTTCACTTTATACTCTATGATGCCGACGGACATCAGTTGACAAAAATTATGGCCATAAAATGTAACATTATAGTTATCTGGGGAACATTATGTTGTAATAATTGGGCTTTTTACACCACTGTGCAGCAGCTGTGGCTTCTAAACAGGGTCACGCTCGTCATGCAGATATATATGCAGATGTTTTAACAGGGAGTCAGGTTCCTCTAAAACATGTAATAAACTAACAATTAGCACCAAATTGGTATTTTGTCAGAGGGCCAGACGAAACCACAACAAAGCCCTTTTGCCTCTGTGGAATACCAGCATCTCCGGCCAAGTTCTGGCCCAAGCTGGATTTCTGGAAAACGGGGCCCCTCCATACAGGTGGGACCACTGGGTAAAAAAGATAATTGCTGCCTTAATGCCAGCTTACTAGCCATTTTCTTTATTTGCATATTTACTTGGCAACCCAAAACCAAGTCGCACAACATGAGGAACATTTAAGTCGAGGCGTTCTCGGAGGTGAGCCTGGAACACACCGAAAGTTGTACAGGTTCCAAATCCAGACCAAGATTTTCTCTTCCATTAACCAGATGGGTACTCTGTGAATGTGACTTTTTATATTCAACTGGTTGGTTGAAACGAAATCCTGAGTCTGTTTTTATACTTTCTGATACGAAATCTTGGTTTGTATTTGTACTTTCTGAACCTACACTTTCCACCTCTGCCTACAACACACTTTCTGCAACTGTAAGAAAACTACTCCCAAAATAATGAAAATCGTAGTGAAATATTGGCGCAATTTCTGATCCTTCAGTGTTGTAATTTTCCCGCTGCCCTCTGTCTGTCCTTGAACACACACACTTTGCAAAAACGTCCTTCAACCATTCTTTTTAATCATACTATCATTTTTCAATCATACTATCAATAACTTTAAGACCAAAAAAAAATATTTAGAGTACAATCCTGTCACAACAGAATTCCATAAAACATGTTTCAATACACTGTGCAAGGAGCTCATGTTATGAAAGCCATGTTACGTAATCCGCTGTGGTGGGTTTTAATGGGACTTCTGTTGCCGTTGCTCACGCTTACGGGACGCGGCGAAACTTTTCGGGGAGTTTCTCACTGGTGTCAGTGTTAGCAGAAGATGTACAGAAAACTTGTACTAACTTCTCATGTTTGATACTTGCATCGCTCAAGTCTTTGTGGAAAAGAATGAAGAGAACAGACCGATATAGTGACAGTCCTTGTGTTAAAAAGCGCAATTGCTCTATTCTAAGTGAATCCTCCGCATGTGCACAGTGTACAGAGACTACATAGGCAAAAAAAATTAAAAAATGAAAAAAAAAGTGATGTACACAGTCCCCCTGCAAAAAGAAATCCAGAGAAAGTGACACCCCCCCCACCCCACAAATGGCAGGTTAATTTTCTTTAGTACTTTTACAGTAGAAAACACAGTATGATTGAGTGAAGACGGCAACACGGGGCTGGTTTCACGCATTTTCTGAAGCTTTCATCTCCTAAGCGAGGCGGCAGGGCCGCAGGAGCGGGACGCTTGCGGCTGATTGGCTGAGTGCGGGCGGAGGCGGGGCCTCAGCGCATTCGCATGTGCAGGCTGTGCTTGGGGCCGTCGACGCGCTCCAGCTTCTCAAAATGCTTCCTGGCATTGCGGATGTTGATGAGGGTTGCTGCGGAGGCTGCGAGGAATAGAAAGGGCTTGCCATCAACCAGAAGCCTTTTAGATCCAACCCCACTTTAGAGGAGAAAGTCTACCGATTGTCCCTTCCCTTCTTGAGGCCTGTCCTAAACAAGAGTCCTACTGGTACTCTGCACACCTTCCCCACCACACAAAAGCCAGGGTTACTCACGGATGGAGGGATCCGACATGATCACCATAACGTAGGTGTTGGAGGTGAACACGTCGATGAAGGCGGCGAAATTGGAATTGCGCACCTCCATGCTTTGGAAGGAGGCTGCCAGTTTACTGCAAAGTTGAGAAGATACTGTTACCGGTGGAGTCAATCAATGGCACAAGTTGCCCCCTGATGGGGCTCTGTAGAGCGGATGGAGGAAGAGGGGTGAGAGGAAGAGTGAAGCACAGTGGAACAACCCAACGGGGAACAGTGGGAGACGTTCTCCAGCAGAAGAGACGTTCTCACCTACAACTCAGCTTGAACTGCTTGATGATGTTGCTGATCTTCTCAAACCTGTGTGCGTCACGCTGCTCCTTGCACTGGTAGTGTGAGATCACCTGTGCCAGAGGAGAGGGGTCAGCACAGGCCTTTACACACAGAGGATATAAAACTGAGAACTCTACATTCAGGTGTGAGGCTGTGTGGTTTCTGGGCTGGACCACTGAAGAATGCTTTTGTTCCTCATGAAAACTGATTAAAGTAAAACAGCCAGCAGCAGGAATGAAAACTATTGAAAATTCGTGACCTAAGATGGAGAAAAGGAAGGAGACTCCAGCTGAGCAATAAGAAGAAAGCAATCAGGAGTTATGGAGCCCATGTCCAGTCCACCTCAACCCTCGCAGCTTCCTACCCCCTTCCCATTTGCACACCGCGGCACTCTACGATCTGACCACGCCCTCTTCTCCGTCACGCCCTCTCTCTCACCAGGAACGTTGCTCTCTCGAAGAGCAGCACTTCATCCGCTTCGATGATCTGGGCGAAGTTGCGTAGGTTGGATTCCAGCTGCTGCACGTTGGGGATCAACTGGTAGACGATGCTGGACCATGCCTAAGCACGAGAGAGGATCGCCCAGGGCACCCGTGATTATTCCCAGGCAGAGAGGTGATGGTACGTTTCACCTGTACAAAAGGAGCTGCTTCTATCCCTCCCAAAGCTGTCCTGCAGGGCCAGCTGGATGGTGAGATCCAATCACAAATGTGGGGGTTCGGACGTCACATGGGCTCACACCTTGTACAGAGTCTCGTCCCATATGGACGTCCTGAAGCAGGTGCAGGCCAAGGGGCGGGAGAGCCGCCTCAGGTCCTCTTCGCGCTCCTTAAAAATCTGTAATCATGTGACGAGACATGAGACTACTTTAGTATCAGGTTCTGCTGGGCATAAGGCTTGATTACACCAACATCTCAGAATTTAATACCCAAGAGTAAAAAGATATTGTCAGTCAAATTGAACAGATAACATGTTAAATACTTAAAGATGTTTTCAGTATCCATGGGAACCCTGTACTGGAGGTGTCGATGGGAGGTATGAGGCTCAGCATATTACATTTCTGTGGCTGTGATCAGAAGGTTGTTGGTTCAAATCCCAGGGTTAGCAGAGTGGTTTTCCCGTTGGGCCGACGAACAGGGCCATGAACACCCAAGTGTCACCACCCCAAAGAACCGCCAACAGAATTCAGGAGGCCAGCTGCATGAATTCAGGACAGACTGAGCCTCTGCATATTTACAAGACACCATGTGGCATAACTCACCAGGTCTCTCTGGTCCTCCTGCACCAGGTCCATCTTGTGCACCAGACAGAAGACCTTGGCATCGGGGGAGTTCTGCAGGATGGCTTCCAGGCAAGATTGGTAGTAATGCATGTCCTTCTCCAGCTCACGGCTCTCCACGTCAAACACATATATCAGCACCTCCACATTCCGGAAGATGTTGTCCCTCTGGCTAGTAAAGTAGTTTTCCATGAAGGTGTCCTGTCTGCACGGTGGGGGTGGGGGGGGGGCACCAGTCAAGTCAGTGAATGTCCACAGACACCAGCTAATAGAAAGCACCTCTAAAAAAACATCAAGAAAAGCCAACACTGTTCCTATTACTAAAAGACAAACACCACTTTCAAAACAGGAAACTGAAATAAATCAATTATTCATGGTATTTGTTTCAAATCTGTTGTTTTGTAAGTGTTTTTTCTTCTCTGCAGGCTTCAAAGCTTTTCCAAATGCCTGATGCTCTGACCCTGAAACTGATGCAGACCAAGATGCAGGTTTGGCAGGTCAGACCTCCTGCCTGTGTGAATGATTTCTTAAACACACAAGTACAAACAGGGCCACAGCCACTGGCAGGCTGCCCAAAAGAGTGCAAAGGTCACGCCCACTGGTCAATGGAGTTCCACCACTTACCCTCCACAGTCCCAGAGGTTCAATACCAGGTTGCCCAGGAATCGCACATGGGAATGCTCCACATCAACTGGAACACAGAGAGCAAAGGTGTTCTAGCATAGGTTTTGCACTCAGGCCTGTAGCACAGGGCTGGTTCAAGCTAGACTGTGGCTTTGAGATGGGGGGGGGGGGGTTCAGTTTACAGGACCAAACATCTTTGTGCTAAGGGGTCTCTAATCATGGGCAGAAAAGAGGCTCCTTCACAGGAACTATAAGCCAGACAAGCACCTGTGCTCATATCCTCCCCCACATGTCAGCCACATGACACCCCCGAATCGCTCCAGATGTCCCAGACACCCCTGGCAGTCAAACCAAAACACACCCTTTTTAATCTGCCTCTGGAGCAAATTTTTCCCTCCAAAAAGTGAAGGATCAGAGACAGAGAGCCATTTAATCTTTCACCAGCTTCAATGGGTCTAGTTAACAAAGGGTACATGGACACAGCACGCCCGGTTTAGGTGCGCCGCGCTGCTTACTTGTGGCCCCCAGCCTGCGCGTATCTCTGGCGATATAATTGGCGAAGATGATTGACCGCATGCTGGTCTTCCCGGAACCACTCTTCCCCATCAGCAACACCTAAAAAGCAGAACACCCGAAGGTCGGATGCTCAGACTGAGCAAGCGTGGGGGCAAAGCAGTCATGCTACATGCTAAGGTGCTCTATCCAACCATCTCACTGACTGATTAGCCTTGAAACTAACAGCACAGGCTTTTAGCTCGTTAATGCGCTCGTTTTTCTTTCAGCCACGTTAGACAATTGCGCCATCTGCTGGACACTGATTTCACCTAAGTTTCTAACTTCTCCCCATAAAGGAATCGGGGGAGTTCTGCTTTCTTGTAATGACATATATATTTTGGAGTTAAGTATTGCACTGGGAGTTACTTTTGTAATGCTGCTGCACAAAACAAATATTCCCACCAAGAGATCAATCTCATCAGTATCAGCAGACTGGCTTACATCAGTGTGGATTACATAGTGAAAATTTCTGCAAATAGAAATTTACTAAAGTAATACAGGTTAATAGTCTTATTTGCAAATGAGATATAAAAAAAACTATTAGTCAACTTCCTAGACCAGGAAATCAAATATCGGCTCAAAATATGCAACAAAACACACTTTGAAGTTAAGAAAAACCCAAATTATGAGTCTAACAAAGCGATTTGTGGTTTCTTATGGTTCTGTAGGGCAAGATTAACAGCTGATATCTGACCTTCTTCTTCATGGCTGTGCTCGACATCGCCACCCTTCCGACTCAGAAACCAATGTATCACCGTCCCCACAACACACCACTTCTGCCTCTCTGGGCCTTGGACTCCACCTTGCAGCTGTCTGGGTGATTTTCCTTTAGTTTTCTGTAATTGAACAAAGAAAGAGCCGAAAAAGGGCAAAGTGGTGTCAGATTACCAAATGACAGGATGAATTTATTGATGAATGCTGAAAACAAGTGACTGGAACATTTCAAGGGACACGTCAAAGCGTTAATGATTAGTCCATTTTAAGTGTAATAAAACAGTAAAACTTATTGATATTTCCCGAATCCTAACTTCCAAAGTCAGACTACACCGGACATACAACCGATTTTCTGTCATCCTTGGAGGAAGAACAAGTATCAGGTACATTCTCTCTGCACTTTCGTTAACTGTCACTTTAATCAAACTTCCCCTTTTAGCTGTACAATTTCTAATTAGTAGTTTTACAAATGAGACCACTGATTTAAATGTCCAGTCCGACAAAACACCTCAACTATCGATTTCTAACACGGAATTAGCTACACTGAGGCGAACAATAAAACACGTCTGTAAGTAAATTATCATTTAAGCAGTCAAAATAAAAATAACTGACACATTATTTAGAAAAAGTCTCATTAGCAGCTACTTGGCACGCGAAATGTTTACCGCACAGTTAGATGTATGAATTCTGCATGAGCTACAGCTAGCTAGTTACCTCCATCAAAATATAACAAATTAAGCCAGCAAAATTTTCTAAACGAGACAGCCATTCAATATCGTTAAGATACGCTGCAAGATAACTTCACAACAAAAAGTACCGAGTAAATTTAACTAGCTATTTACCCGTCTGTTTACACAGTCTCGGCCCTAGTCAGCTATACAGCTAGTTAGTTATTTAGCAAAGTATTAGGAACTAAAAAGTACTTCTGACTAGACACACAGTATAAAACGCCCTCACATATCTTTCACTGGACATTTAAACACTTGTCAACAATAAATATGATACCTACATTTCTGTTATATGTTATATCCGTATATGTTCCATTGCTCCTTATGTTTATGAATTCAGGTATGTTCCAGGCCCAAGGCAGGAATCCCCACACTCACTTTCACATGACCAACTTCTCATATCAAACAACATCTCGCGATGTTTCTTTCGCCCGATGGTCACTGGGAGTTGTATTTCTTCTTTGCCCAAACGTTCGCGCAAAGAAGTATTTTCCCACAAAATAACCCAGACACAATTATTTATGTAATTTAGAACTGTAATCGAGAAACTAGACTAAGTAAAATATAAACCATTTTAAAGATATAAATACGACCATTATCAATCCTTTGTTTTTTACGTTTAACTGTAAACGTTTTATACGTTTTATTACAAGCTGTTATTTTAAATAGCCTACATTGATACTTGATAACTGAAATATGCTTTCTTCTACAGATCTGAGATAAAGTTCATATTCTTTTTTGAACTCCATCCAATCTCTTCAGAGATTAATGAATGGGATGCATCTAAAATGAAAACACAGGACGGAAGAGCGAGAACATTACATTGTCATTCTAGGCTGATGAAGTGTTGCGTGAGGTTCCTGGTTAAATGGTGTCCCACTGCACCGCTCATCGTCCTGTATCAACTAACATAGCTCAAACACTGCAGATTAACCAGCCGTGCCGCAGCGCGCCCTCCATCACGATCTACCTTTTTCCCAAGCGCAACGGCGCATGAAACCTAGCTAGGTCCAGAGTTAAGAAACAGACAAAACTGAAAAATAAAACTTCGCTTTGACCAGACAAGGAAACACAGTCGCGCTAGAATGTACTGTTGATGTTATTTTTGCAATAGGAAGAATCAGTCACATTGATGTTCTAAGCTTCCATAATGACTAAATATTTCCTCGAAAACCTCGGCAGACAAACACCTTCAGTTGTACCGATAAATCTAATAGCCATCTTGTATAGTTCGGTGAGCACACACAATGATTTCAGCAGGCTGCTGCAGTCTTCAGTGGGTGGGAGGATTAGAATCATCCCAAAGTCCTTACAATTCACAGTAATGCCATGGAATAGGAGTACACAGTGTACCTGGTATGTAAACTCACTACACAACTGGTGGCCATTGCTTTTAACGTATTTAGAAATCTGTTGTTGAGGATATAAACAAAGTTTCCCGGGGACACACAAGAAATGGTGCCTCTAAGTTTGGTTCTTTTCATAATTTATCATTTTATTTTACATTTTCTACACAATACAGAAGCCATTCTGCAAGTACAGAAATTCTATTCCTTTGTCTCCCACAGGGCATTCCATGCAGCATTAAACATGAGGAGCTTGAAAAGAATGGATAGCAGCTACTTTAACAAAACCAGGTTTGCTCTCTCTGGAGTAGAGCCACGTGCAAGGAAAATGTCATCCTGCCGCCTCATCCGGACACTCGAAAGGGAAACCAGAGCTTGCCATCTCTACATCTGACCTCCCCTGCTCTTCATGCCTCCAACACTGTGAGCCCCTGATGAAGTAAACCCCCGCAAAGTTATCCAGGAAGAGAGGCATCACTTCCATCTGTTCCCCATCCTCAGAGCGTCTGAAGGAGCCAGAGCGTCTGCTGGAGGCTGAGAGAAAGAGGAAAATGGGAAAGCGACTGCGCCAGGGAATCACTTTGGGCTCTGATGGACAGATTGCAGATTTGCCACCGAAGCTTCATTAACGTGAGTTTTTACTGTTACCTCTTTGCTGCTTGGCATGAAAGAAAAAGGTGTTTGCTTGCCCTGGGGCAAGAAGCCGTCAGTCTGTTCGTCTGAATGAATTTGCTTTGTGTTCTGTTTGAATTGGTCGTGGATCCAAACTAAATAAGTACAAAATGAATAGGCTCCTTTTTGGCATTGAAATTTTGGCTAGACTATACATGGACTTGTGAAGAAAGATTATAAATGTTTCTCAGAGTTTTTACCACCATATAACAATAAGAAACCTTCTATCACCAATTACAGCCTTGGACACTTTATTATTCACTACAGATTCACGAAGAGATTACTGGATACTATTATTGCTTAAATTTCTGTGCCTTTTCTTGGCAATCCAGTCTGAAACTCACAGTCAGATGATGTCCCACTCTGATGTCCTCCATACCTGATCCACTTTCCATGGATGCTTCCTGGAACTTCAGTCTTTCTGGGAATACTACCCTGGAACACTCCAGGCTTTTGTCGGTGTTTGAGATACACATCTTGGTTCCTGTGACAGTTGCCTGCATACTACTCTTCTTCTTGGGCGTAGGGGGCAACCTAAGCACCCTACTTGTGTTCCGGCGCACCCAGTCGCTGCACACCACAACCAACCTCTACCTGTCCAGCATGGCCATCTCAGACATCCTCATCTTCATTGGTCTACCCCTGGATCTCTATCGTCTGTGGCGGTACCGACCCTTTCCCTTTGGAGACTTCCTGTGCCGCTTCCAGTTCTACCTGAGCGAATCCTGCACCTATGCCACCATCCTGCACATCACCGCCCTCAGCGTGGAACGCTACTTGGCGATCTGCTTCCCGCTGCGCGCCCGCCGCTTGGTCTCCAGGGCTCGCGTGCAACTGGTGATCGTCGCTCTCTGGGGTCTGGCTGGCACCACGGCGGTGCCTGTTTTTCTTCTCTTCCACGTGGAGGGCCAGGAGTGCCAGCCCACAGAGGCAGGCCTGCGCTCAGGCCTGCTGCAGGCCATGACCTGGGTGTCCACGCTTTACTTCTTTCTCCCTCTGGCCTGCCTCTGTCTGCTCTATGGCCTCATCTGCAGGAGGCTGGGACGCATGCGGCACCGTCCCTACGCACGCATCCGCCAGAGGCACCAGCGCCAGACAGTCAGGCTCCTGGGTAAGAGACTCCTTTTAAGGCCTCTCGTGAGGAGGTCAGGGCTGCCCAACCGCGTGGGATGTTTTCTCTTTTTAGAGAGCTAAGCATGGTGATATTTGTCATGTTCAGCATGGAAGGCCGTCTGGTGTATTTCTAGATCGTTAGATTACTGTACATATCATATAAACTTCAAAATTCACACTGGTGATTACCAGGAATATAGGACAACACATCATCCATCAATCTTATAACCACTTATCCTGTTGAGGGTCATGGGCAACCTGAAGCCTGTCCCAGAGAAGCATAGGGCACAAGGCAGGGGACTCCCTGGATGGGATGCCAGTCCATCACAGGGCACACACAAATTTAATTATACGCTATGGGCAATTTAGAGATGCCTCTTAGCCAAACCACATGTTTGGACTGTAGATACCCATGTGACAAGAACATGCAAAGTCCAGACACATGGCAGAGGCAAAGGTCTGAGGCAACAGTGCTTTACCGCGTAACCATGCCATCAGTATAGAATAAAATCTTAGAGTATGAAAACGTGCACTGAGATGGTGTGATAGCAATTCAGCACGAGTACTCCTCAGAGAGGGCTCTAACACCTGCCATCGGATGTGAAATATAGACTCTTCTTCAAGCAGACCACGGAATTATTTAGTCCTTTTAAGGTTTGTAAAATTGTTGGTCAAGGTCTCAACTTATTTCTAAATTACTTTACTGTATATTCCTTCCATTGTTATATAAACATATACAGTTTAACCTCATTAAGATTTGTTAAAGCAACTTTTATTTAACAATAAACCGACATCCTTCTGGAGTCAAATTCCTCAAGTGCTAAAGTGCACTGCTATAGAAATAGACTTGTGTGTTTAACTGGTCATCACTCCATATGCGCAGTTGTATAATTTACCACTTGCATGAAGTAATTTAGCAGAGTACATTTTTCTCTCCTAGCTCACACAAATGTTGGTTTTTAGCTTGATCGATGTCCTCTGCAGTAGGAGTTTCATAATCTCAAATGGCTTTGTTTAGCCAGGGTCACCAGCTAGCTGTCATATGTGGTCTTCCTGGAGACCTCTCAGATGCCTTCATGTCTGTCATTTGTCCAGACAGACATCTGCAACAATCAGTACTTTGTGTGCCTGGTAGCGTGTGAAGAAAGCAGGGCACTCGTTAGAGGAACGGATATCCTGTCTTCTGTGCAGGCAGACCCCAGGATGTCTCCGGCATGAGCCTGATGAGGAATTTCAAATTACTAATGATAATGAAAAGCCATCTGTCTTTCATGGCATATTGAATTACGGCATAATTTCAGTTTTACCCGCGGGATGCTGCTTTGAAGGCTTACACCGTTTCTTGTCGCCCACCTTTGCCAGTCGTGGTGGTGCTGTCCTTTGCCCTCTGCTGGCTGCCCTTCCACATCGGGAGGATCCTCTTCTCCACTGCAGTCGGGGACGAGGAGGACCAGGGAGGCAGAGAAGCCCTGTACACAACGTCGCAGAACTTCAACTTGGCTGCCATGCTGCTTTTCTACCTCAGCGCTTCCATCAACCCCGTCCTCTACAACCTGCTGTCTGCCCGCTACCGCCTGGCGCTACGCGGCATGTTCCAGAGCCAGCGCCCCCGCAGCAGGCTCCCCCGAGGGCACAGGTCCAGCCACCGCAGTCGGGTCACCGCGCCAACCGACATTAACTTCTGCACCAGCGTGTAATAAAGAAGCCCCAATTCCGACGCGTTTTTGCAGTGCTGGACTGTGAGCATGTGTCAGAGGGGAGACAGTCAGACAGGAAAAACTGAAAGTAAATTTCCTTTCTGCAGTATCCACTGAGCATGGATATTTGACCATAATATGTCACTTATTCCTAAGCAGGATGCTGCAAGGTCACACTGTCCACACCTGAAGCACAAGAACCGTAACGGGAACCTTTGAGTCAGAAAACAAGACCAGATACTATAAGGACTATAATTTATTTGCCATATTAAATATATTATCTATGATTGTTACAATTTAGTAATAACATAATACATGGCAGTTTCTTTAACATAAAAGTTTATGAAATTACACAAAAAGAAAAACATAAGAAAAAGCAACAATTAATGCCGATAAAGTATGTTTTTTTGGAATGTATTATATTTGCCTGCTAAAAATGCAATAGAAAAGGCAAACAAGGGGACCAGCATGTTCTACAGACACTGTCATGGGAGTAGGAAGATGGAGATCAGGGTGTAACAGAGATGGTTTAACACGGAGCCGGCAGATGTGGCCACCTGCTCCATGACACAGCCGGCCCGAGAACATCTGCCCCAAATACCTAGACAGAGAAATAACCATCCCTGCAAGGACCTTTCAGATTTACAGCAGTATTTTAATGTGATTTCCACTAATGCACTGAACCCCAGTTCTCCATCTTTTCCTCCTACAGCTTCTTTAGTGTATGGTTCCCCCTAAGAAACACACCAATCAGCTCTCAAATCAAAGTGGACAGAAGCCCAGTGTACAGAGTTTAGTCATGGCCAGAGGTTGATTTTGCCAGCTTTTCTGGCTGACGGATGGGTAGCCTTCATGCTAAATCAGCTGTTTTACGTCAGGGACCATGGGGATGTTGGGAGGTCATGTGGGGGTGTCCTGAGGTCAGACCTCTGAGGGCTAAGGATGTGAGCTCATGGTCTGTACAAGGGGCTTTGGGGCGTGTCAAGGTGCTTCTCTGCCGAATAGAGCAGAGGGCAAGAGGTATGAGAGCACCGTTAATGCAGAACCCCAGTGTTTAGAGCCTCTGTTTTCTACTGAAGGAACCGTTAGGATACGATCAATTCCCATTCCCGTCATATATGATCTGGAGAGACTGTTGTGTATTGTCTGGATGCAAATGCCCAGGAGTCAAACATGACTACTGATTAACTAGGGTTGATAGGAACATAAAACACTGGAGACATCAGACAGCAAACTACATAATTGGAAGCTACATATACTGGATATCATAAACAAGACTGGCTCTCAACCTAGCATTCTGGGAAGGGGTTACACAAACAAGAATCTGAAAATACTTGTGAAATACTAATTAGCAGCAGCGCTTTCCCTACGTATGCCAAATGTATGGGACGCAAAAATAAAACTCTAGACAAAGCAGGTCCCGTCCCCTAGCTGTGCAGAAAGCAGAAAGCTTGGCTAGGCTCATCCACATTCAGGCTGTTCAGGGTCAGAGCGTAGGCTCAGATAGCCTAATTCCGTAACAATTTCCTCCATTTTGGAAGGAAATGACACGCACTGTCAACATTTTAACTCATAAGTACCACTCAGTGATTTGATTTTGTTTCCAGGCGGAATGACAGAATGCACTTAGCATGGAATCAGAATTAGTTGTAGGCCCCAAAATTAATTTTGGTGTCCATGTGTGCATGCGTGTGTGTGTGTGTGTGTGGTGGCGGGGGGGGGGGGGGGGGGGGGGGGGGGGGGGGGGGGGGGGGGGGGGGGGTTACACAAGGCCAGAATTCTCCACTGAGTTGTAACCCTTCTCATTTACATGCATGTTAGTTTGCCCTGAAGTTGCAGTTTAATGGTTAACAGAGGCTGCGTCATACACACATTATAACAGGTTGGGCTGGAACAAGTTTAAGACTTTGTACTTAAATTCGTATGTAACAAACGGAGACACCAGAGTAAAAGTCTTTGGAAACAGCACCCCGGATATTCTGATTACCCTTCGGCCAGGCCTGAGCTGAGGAGCGCCTTGGCCAGTAGGCTGCTCAGACTCACCAGATGCAGGCACAAGTGGGAATGAGTGAACAGTGTGCAGAGGCCATAGAGATAAGGCTGTTGTGTAGAACAGTACTGCGCCCTGACAAGCTCATAGAAGGGGAAAAAAGAAAAAACAAAAAAAAAAAGCTTTTACACTAATACTCAACATTGCAGGATGTTCCAGTCAGGATCTAACAGGAAACAGTACAGATTATGGTTCAGATTAATGAACGAAATACAATACTAACAGCAAGAACGCTTATCATAATAAACATAACTTTATGCCTTCCCTCTTCTTCCAACACACATTATACCAATGACAATCAGTGATCTCGCACTGCAACCGTTCCAGCATGGATAGTGTTCTGGGGGTTGGGGGCCGGTGGGAGGGGGGGGGGGAGGCTACGTAGAGCCTGGTTTACCAGGTGAAGCTGAGCTACAGCACCAGAGGTTGTCCTGTCACATTCGGGAGGAAATCTGGCATTACAAAACGGGGCTTACATATTTATTTAAGGGGAAATTTAGAGCAAAACCCTGTCGCAATAGACGGAGAGCAGACCTGTCTTGGAGTGGGCTACAGCCCTGAAGGTTCTCTGGTAACTCTGGAGTCTCTCTTTCCATGCATAGCTCATATCATTAGCTTTATAAACAAGTAAATTGCATACAGGCATCTCTTCTCCAAATGAGCACTTCACGTTAAGGAGCGGCAGATGCCCATGCCAAAACATCAGATTCATCATGGTTTTCTTTGGAAAAAGTTATATCCAGGATTACAGGATATTAATAACCTGTGGCTCACAAAACACACAGTTCCCAAGAAACACAGGGCTGTTGTCCGCCTGCCTACAAAGGGGAATCTTTTTAAACCTATAACCTTACAAACATTCATTCTAGTGAATAGATGGAGCACCTCTGAAAATAACATTGCTCATTCAGATTTGTTTGGGTTGTCACGCATTGTAATCATTTTAGGGAAAACAAGGAACAGGTTTTTTGGTTTTGGGGGGGGGGGTGGTAGTCTTCCGGCTTCAGACACAGGAGTCAAGACATGGGCCATTGGAGAGGAGAGGCTCGTCAGAGCCTTGAATTCCATGCTACATCTACGCTGATGTGGTCATGATCTCAGTGAGCACTGGAGGGACTGGACGTGTACCTGCCAGTTCATGACATCCTCACAGCCCATTTAATTTAAAGGGAACAGTTTTAATGCTAAAATTACCAAGAGGTATGCCCGTACAGGCTATAGCTCAGCAGAATGGCTCAACAATGGCCTAGGTGCAAAGTCACGCTGGACGTAGAGAGGACAATAGAAACTACGCCTAACGTGGACCTCAGATTGGCCAACACAAAGTAGGGTTTTATAATACAAATAGGTATAGCGAGAGCATGGGTGATACTGGGCAGCCATACTGACAATGTGAACTCAAATCTATTCTCCAGAGACACACCAAACAAGGCCGTTGCCCCCCCCCCCCCCCCAATCTTTGAGCCTGAATGTCCAAACGGTACAAAGCACACACATTTTGACAAATACATAACAGGATCATGGTGCTCAGTTTGAGCCAAATAGAGACATTTATAACAATGTGTATTTCGTATCTCTTATAGGTACTGTCCATTTTTATATACATAAACATAACATGTATGTTTATACACACATACACACACAGGTGATGACAAACAAAAATTCTCCCAATTATTTTAACAAGGTAACTTGTGTCTCTTTGAAGTTCTTCGTTATGTTAGTGGATTCTTTTACCTTTTTTTTTTTTTCTTTTAAATCACTTTAAAAAAATAAAATATGGGAACCCCCAACCCCTCTTAGAGGAGCTTTTCTTCATACATGTCACTCTTATAAAAACTTTGGCAACTTCTCCCTTTTCATTTTTCCATCCTCTGTTAAAAACACACATAGTTTAATAGAGAACAGAGCTTAATTCACAGTTGCTCTGACCAACAGTGTACAGTATAAAGCTGAAATGACCTAGTCTTAAGGAAATCCCATGATGCAGCTGGGAGTTTCCATGGTGAATCACGACAGCCAGTCAGCCAAGGCAGATGACAGAGAACCTTGCACCTCGACCAGTCGACTGACATCAGACACTGTGGAAAAGCCCATGAAGTTCTGCTCACTTGCTCGCTCGCATTTCCTGTCGCATGGCTGCCACCGTCAGCACGCACGGCAGCCAGAAGCCCGCTTCTTCCCATGTCACCTCCATCTCAGACCACTCGCGACTGGACGCGTCTCGCCACCAGATCGCACTAAATCGCCCGTTAAGTCACAGTTCACATTGGTCATGAAGAGAGGGCAAAATCACAACATGGAAAGTACCTATTGCTGTAAATATATAACATTTAACATTAACAACAATGACAACAGCAACAAGAACATCAACGAACAACAACAGCAGGAATAGGAAACTGAAAATATCTCCACTGGGATGCAGCAGAGCTTCTTGTGTGACTAGGTGAATAAGCAAGCCTGGATTCTCATCCTGCTGTTTCTCACCGTCTTTCAGAGAGGGCTAAAGGGGGGGGGGGGGTAGGGGGGTACGGTTGGGGTGGGATTCGGTGCAGGGAGACAACCTACTTGATGACAAAGTACTGGATGACCACGGCGAAGAGAATGGCCACCGTTGAAAAGCCCAGAAGCAGCAGCAAGGCAAACTGTTCATCTGTGATGGCTCTTCCCGTCCTGGGGGTGCCGCCCTCTCTGGCTGTGGCCTTGGGCCCTCCCTCTGAGGGCCCTGGGGGCTCCATGGCAGGCAGGGAGGTGCTCGGGCTGTACGGCCCCCACAGCTCTCCGCTGTCGGGGCATTTTCGACCCGCGCACACGCGTACACGCCAGTCGCAGCCTGGGACGACACCTTGCCACTTGTATGTGGCAGCAGGGCCTCTGTAGAGCTGAGACAGAGAAGGGAGAGTGAAGCTTTAACCCAAAGAAGTACCGTACATCCGAGGGTGCCTCTTCCGATACACCGACATAATACAGCACTTAGACCCCATCCAGAGGCAAGCTGAAGGCATTCCCTCCATTATCTCATCAGGCTTCCTGCCAAGGCGTACCTGCTCAGCCTCACGTCCCCGCTGCAGCTGCAGAGTGTACACCATAGGGTCTCCTCTCATTGGTGGTAGGGCCTCCCATGTGACCTCATACTGATTCCACTCCAGCTGCTCGATGCGCGGGGCTGTTAGAAAGATGTGTCAGTCTGATGAATGGGAGAGTCATGTGTTCCTCCAGTGGATGACAAAGAGGTACCCAAGGCCTATCATTTATGCTCAGGTTACGCTCCGGAAGCCTGAGGGAGCAGACAGCAGTGTATCATGTTTCTCTGAGAACGCCTCTGCTGAAAGACACAGCTAGTTCCGAAGAACTGAACCATTAATCTGACAGTTCCATACAGTTCAACTGGACCACTTTCACCATTATACCAAGTAAGTAAGGACCGAAAGAGAAACTGATCAGGATATTCTTTGTGTTTTTCAATGATCACAATCAGGAAACTGAGCCAAATGCAAGCTGCCAATGGCGTAAAAACTTAGTGATGGTTACAGAATAATTAGCCCTACGGAAAGGGAACTTTATCACTGTCATCCAAATAGCTGCAGGATAAAAATAAATAAATAAATCGGACAACACACAAACAAAACAGATTCCACAAAATGATGCAGAAACAGTACCAAGTCTTCAATGTAGCAGCTAAATGAAAAGGAGAACAGCTTGCACATTCCCTAGTTTCACCTGAAGTAAAAAGCAGCTGTATTCCACATGCTGCGTTCACACAATGTTTTTCATTTCAGACTGATGACTGAAGGTCCCACAGGAGAAAAGGCAATGGAAACAAACCTCCAAGGTTCAGTTCACTTCAACATGGCAACAGAAAAAAGGACATCTAATGGTGTTTCTCACTCTTGAGCTCGGGCGGGAAGAACGGAAGGGCCTCACCCTTGAGCTGGCCTGGTGGAGACCTGCTGGTGCTGAAGCTGTAGAGGGTGGAGAGCGGCCCCACCCCGGCCTCATTGTGTGCCTGTATGCTGAAGTGGTATAGAGTGGCTTCGGCCAGCCGCTGCACCTTGAACGTGTGGCAGGGGCCGCTGTAGATGCACATGAGCCTAGGAAACAGAGTCCCCCCCCCCAGAGAATTTAACAACATTTGCTTTTCCTGATAAGGAAATAAAACTGTCAGCAAGCTTCCAGTTTCAAACAAGGTGAGATGGCGTAGAGATTCAGAAAAGCAATCTCTGAAATGTCTCCCTCCCGGAAGAAAACTGTCATGCAACCAGTACAGCCCAGCTAAGGAGGACAAAATATATAGGACCTGTATCTACAGCCACAACATCAAAACACAAAAGACTGAGCTGCATCCAAACCACATCTCCACGTCACGTGCTTGTTCCAATTCACTAAGAGCAGCCCAATACAACTAGCCAGCTAATGACAAATCTGGTCGTTTCTGAGCTGAGGCTTTGGAGAGACACAGTTCACATCCGTTTGTTTGTTTGTGTGTGTGTGTGTGTGTGTGTGTGTCCCCACCTGTCTGCGCTGGCCTGCATGTGCAGACAGAACTGCGTGGTTCCGCTTGGCTGCGCCCTGCTCGGGCCCTCGCCCCACTTGAGCTTCAGACTCTGGGGGCCCGTGGCAACACACTCCAGCTGGGGCGGCTCAGGGGGGAGGGGCCGCGTTTTGGCTTTCAGCGCAGTGCTGAAAGGACCCGGCCCGACACTGTTGACTGCTTGCACACGCACCCTGAGAGAAGTCCATTTGATAACATTTTTACAATTAGGCTGTGAACGCAAGTCTATTTAAACATGTTTCTAAACTTAGGCTCTTTTAAAACCACAACAGTAAAAGAATATAAATGCATTAAACAGTTGCATGAAGTAATTTATTCTGGCAGTGCGGTGCTTTTAAGGCTGAAGTTCTTAACCCTGGTCCTGTTTATGGTGAGCTAGTGTTTTCCAGATTAGTACAGAGATGGCTGAACTGCTTCATAATCAGTTTAATGCTGATTTAAGCTACATGATTAAGTGCTTAGGCAGCCGAAAAACCTAACTACAAAAGCCACCCAGGACCAGGGTTAACACTATTTTTGCAAATGCTTTTGTCTGTAGAAGTAACATACTAATTAAACAAACATGCACTACCTGTATGTTGTATCTGGCAGCAGATTCTCCAGCACACAGTGATTGGTCCTCCCAACAGACAGGGGGAGCTGCTCCCCATAGTCAATATTGTAGCCTGTTATTTCTGCGCCATTGCAACAAGGCTCCTCCCACTGCAATGCCAGGCAGGAGAAGGCAGGGCCAGGCATGCTTTCAGGAAGCGTGTCTTCACCTACCACCTCCACCAGCCGTACCGCAGCTGGAACTGATGGTGGCGTTGTCACCATGGCAACGTCCCCAAAGGGCCCTGTGCCTGCAGAATTTACTGCCTGTGTGGAAAGAAAAAAATAATGATACAGATCAAGCAAAAATAAGCTTGAACCTATCAACTCTTACTTTGTGAGCTGCAAAAGTGAAATGTCACGCTTTATGACCAACATTTAGCAGACAAGTTCAACTGCTTTGCCAACCTGTTGCTCCCCAGCCAGTTTATGATCACTACTTTAAAAATAGGAATGAACACAGACATTAAATATGCACAGTCAGAATGAAAGTCAAATTATAGCAAGTAAACAGCAACCATATTAAAAACATATCAGTGAGCTAAGCAAAACAAGTCATTTTCCTTAACTGTGTGTTTTTGCTCTGCACCCGCTCATCCACACCAGACGCAGGTAGTCAACTAATAATGAAGCTCTTGACACTGAGAAGCATGTGACTACACAGCTGTGTGATGGCTCACCAGGTCTAGAACTAAACAGTGTTGTAGGTCATGTTTGACCATAAAAATATCTTTTTGGCAAAAGCAGATCTGTGATTCAGCTGTTATTATACCTAATAAAACATTTTTAAATGGAAAACAAAAATTCAAAACAAAATTTGGTTCTATAGTGTGGAAAATGCCAATAACATTCACTAAACATACATAGAGATTCTGCTGACATGCAAGTCACTCAAAAACTGAACTCAGTGCTATACCAGAAAAATACCAAGAGAGAGAGATGCAAAGAAGCTTTTCAGAGACGAGTGCTTCTCCGTTTATGTAAAGCAGCTCTAAAGCTAAATGAATCTCAGAGCAACAGCTGCAGGATTTTGTTGTGGAAAATAACACCATATTAAAATGGGTGTGCTTTGGTATTTTCAAGGGCATCAGTAAACAGAAACAAAGTATTGACAGAATTGTGAGTTTTCATAGTAAGTCATTCAATGACTATTTGTTTCCTTTACACAGACTTTATTACTGCCAGCTATAGGCCTAGGCGATGAAGTCCACTAAATGTGGCTAATGTGACCTTTCTGGTCACCCTTGTCACAGGTAATTACAAAATAAAAAAGAAATGCAGCTAACAGGTCTTAAGTAATTATGTAGTCAGTTTCTGGGAGGTACATTTACTGTATTTACTCTGTGGAGGGCTATACATTCTTGTTGGGGCTTAGTAGATTGTGTGAGCTGGTCTCTTACCTGAACTCTGCAGTAGTAAACTGTAGCGGGGAGCAGGCCGCGAGCTTCATAACTGCGTGACGGGCCGCAGTACGCTAGCGTGAGGGCGCCCTCGGCAGCCCCCCACTCCAGTCGGAATTCAGACACCTCTGCCCCGTTGCAGGCAGGGACCTGAGAGAGAGGGATACAAACAGTGACATGGATCAGAGGGTGAACAAAGGAGGCAAGCAGGAGACACAGGGAAGTGCAGAAAGGGATAAAGGAACTTAGATTCAATTAGGGCTGCAGCGATTAGTCGACAAATTTTTTTAAATTATTTTAATGAAAGTACCATTATGATTTCTAAAAGGCTTCAGTTCATTATAATAAATGCTTTCCTTTCACATTACTATGTAATTATGGGAGTAATTTAAATGATCACAAAACAAAAAGGTGTTTTTACACTGTGCAAAGTTTGACGGCATACCAGAGGGGCACTAACGCTATGCACGAGTGCCTGAAGAGAAAACACACAGGTGCTATTCTGGATATCTTTTATCCTTGTAGCTGCTAACTGCACTCATTATTAAAGCCATATATTTGTCTGTCTACTACCTAACAATCTCCATTGAATAAGTAACTGGGAACCAGTCAAAATGTGGGCTTATTCTACGTGGACTGACGGTGCTAGTGTGTGTTTGTGCGCATTTGGCTTATTGGGAGTTCGGACCAGTGTTATCGTAAAGTAAAACTGGAACGAAAAAGACTAAATAAAAGAAAATAGAACTGAAATAAAGATGAAAACTATGTTTACAAAAAAACTGTGATGGACTTTAATCAGCAAAATAATTTTCCTTGTAATTTCTTTGCTCTTTTCACTGCTTACACCAGGGGTGCCCAACACGTCGATCGCGAATCCCTGGTCAATTGCAAAGGTAGTGTGGGTAGATGGTATGGCATAAAAAATAGAGGATGGATGACGCGTTCAACCGCACCAGCTGCTGCAAAACTCTAGCAAGCTACCGAGTGGCCTACTTAGCCTCCAATTTATTTCTACTAAACTTTAGAAACGATATAAAAATGGGGGAGCTGGACCAAGTAAGAAGCCAAAAACCTACCACTTCCATACAGAATGGGAGGACGACTTTTTTTTCCCCACAATGTCATATTCGAAGTGCCTCATCTATCAGTCTACCATTGCTATTCTGAAGAAGGGAAATGTGGAGCGGCATTTTCGGACTGTTCATAAAAACTACGACATTAACTTCCCTCTGAAAAGCGAGCTGAGAAAGAGAAAGGTGAAGGAACTAAAATCCCAGTTCAATTCAAAAATACTTTATTTATTCCAAAGGGAAATTAGTAATAAAGAACACTCAATATATATATATAAATAAATATATGTTTTGCATTTTTACAGTAGGTAGATCATTTTCACTTGGTCATTTATAAGTAGCTCGCAAGCTTAAAAAGTGTGGGCACCCCTGGCTTATACCAACGGAAGATAAAACAGACTGCTGGCTCGTAGATGGCTTCCAGCATGCTTTGCTAGCAGCTTTCGCTTTGCTAGCTTCTTCAAACCGAGCGTATTCACTGGGGTGGTGTGTTTTTAAATGTCTAATTAATTTGGTTGTGTTAAATGTCTTTGTATTGGTTCCCCCACAGTGTACCTAGTACTTACACTTGCTGCAGATAGCGAATTTTGCGTCCGCTTGGCTCACACTGAACAATTTCCAAATTACGGACATTTTTGCGTGTCTATAGGGTGGATTTATTGCACATGCACAAGATCGGTTCGTAATCGGAAATATGTGAGACTGATTGGCCGATCACCCATCAGGCCAAAAATCGTCCCATTACGATCGATGGGTGCATCCCTAATAAATTGTAAAGATCCATAATTCTAATTTTCCCTGTGTCAGGACATTTGGCAGTCTTTGTGCTGTGTAAAGCTACAAGATATTCTATTTGATTTTAATGTAAGAATTTCTGATTATTCTATGCAATACTCTGATAGTTTATAATAAAAAAAATTCCCTAAAAAGGGTAAATATAAAAGATGCCTAAAGGCTGTTTCACAAAGTGAATGGCCTTAAAAAGTACTGCTTTTCAAGACAATAAATTAACTACCCTTACTGTGTTAAATTACATCTACTACATACATTTGTTTCAGACCAGGAAGCTACCTCAGGGAACATTCTCTTTCGTGCGCGTGGTGCTGCTGGACCATGCCAAATTATTTTTGAGCATTTCACACTGCATAACGGTCCCCAGCTAGTGTGGAGAAACTGCCAGGCCTCTGACTGTTTTGACTGCTGATGGCCGTTGCGATTTTCTCGTCTTCCCCATTTTTTCCACCCTCAGTCTTAAAAAAACATGCAGCTGTCACTGTTACCGCTCTGCACTAAGAATACAAAGTTCCTGTAATAGATTATGCCCATGGCATCTTTTACTTACATACCATTTTACCATCAGGCCTGAATTAAATATTGCACATAGGAGTCAATAACTTACATGGCTCATTTGAGCTTGGCGCTAGAGCTTTCCCTTCTAAATCTTCCACATGCAGTTTTTCCCAAGATACTGAAGTTATTGGCTATAATGCACTCATCTCTTGCCCAGACTAATCAATTAGCCTGCTTTGAAAGCTTAGCTAACAGTTCTGCCAAGACCTCCCATTAATGGTTAGCATTAAACCTGTAGTGTGCCTGCAATGTCCTGAACCACTATGTAATAAAGTACATCAAAGTGCCACTACCACGGCGTAAATTTATACTGAGAAAGTGTTGTGGTTCACGAGGCAAGTCGTATCCATGAGAGCAAAGACAGCCATCCCAGTGAACAGGCCAGGACCCCCCCGCAAGCGCAAGAGGTTGCCACGGTTAATGACCGAGCTGCCGACAGCCGTCCTGAGACCCTCACCTCCCAGCTGGCCAGCACACAGTTGGCCGTCTTCAGGGTGAGCTCTGGAGGACCACACTGCTCTGCTGGCCCTGGGGCTGTGGAGAGCTCCTGCATCTCTGACAGTGGACCCCACTGCAACACAAAACCAGGACACTAAAGGTACCCTGAAGAGACCCGATTCACTCAAATACAGCACAAAACCGTTAAAAAAAAAACTGCCTCCCATGGTATTAAAGTATAGTACGTATGGTACAGCATAACTATCCAATACTGCTATAAGATGTTGGTGTAGAAATATACAAAGCTATCATTCTTACAGTAATTTTGAGTTCATCAAATCATATCTAAGTATTTTCCTGACTAATGGTTAGGAGTGTGTGGTCCTGAGTGTAGTACAGCCCACCCTGAGAGGCCAAACCAAGACAGACTAGGTCGTGGCTTTGGGCCCCATATACAGGATGCCGTCGTTGACTTATTCTGCGCTGCAGTGATGCTGAATGTAAAGTAGGCCATTCCTGAAATGCATGTGCAGCACATCATTAACGTCACACATGAACTCAGTGCTAGGACACACTGCAAGCGCTCACCCCGGCCTGGTTGGCTGCTTTCACCCAGAAACAGTATGAGTGACCGGGCAGCAGGTGGCTGGCAGTGCAGTCAGTCTCCAGGCCCTGGTACAGGGGGCACCGGGGCCCCCCCGCAGACTCCGCCATTTCCACTGTATACTGGTATATGGACGCGCCACCGTCCCACACGGGGGGCGCTGTGAGTGGTGGGACAGGGTGGAAGGGTTTTCAAAGGCAATGTAGCTGAATAACATTTCAATAGACTCTGAGGAAACGCAGGGGGCAAATGCGGGGTGGCATCTCACCCCAGGTCAGGGGTATCTCCCGTGGCTTGGCCTTCCCCCTGAGTTGCAGCGCCTGGCACGGCCCAGGAGGTACGGGAGCCGTCTGCCCCAAGAGGACGTCTGAGACCTGGGAGGGAGGTGGATAAACAACAGCCTGCTCAGTGGGTGGCTTGGCTCTGCTCCCCAGGGTACTGACTGAGAACGAGCACTCTGCCCACCTGGCTCTGCCCCCCAGCGCTCTGGCAGTAGACTCTAAGGCTGTAGCAGGTCCCTGGCTCCAAGCCCTCGCACACGTGTTCCCTCTGTGGCCCACTGTACACCACGGCCCACGGGCTCCCTGAAACGCAGGGGGTGCACGGAGACATAAATACCCGCTCACAGATTCCAGTGTGGGTGTCGTAATGATCTGGGGATGAACATGAATGAACGCCCGTGTGATCACTCTGCAGTCTCACCACTGTCACTCTGGCTCATCTCCAGCACGTACTGCTTGATCTCAGAGCCGCCTCCATCTTTGGGTGTGTCTGCGAAAAGGATGTGAGAGCTGACGGCAGGCACTGTTGCAGGTCTGTGTGAATGATTGCGCAGATATTGGCATCTAAGGGGGATGCTGTCATGAGGAAGGAGATCCTGCCTTCACAGCGGAGGGTAATGGTGTGCAAATACTGATGTGGACAGAAAGTGAGAGAGCAGACGCTCACCCCAGGCCACACGAAGGCAGTGCGGCTGCGCTGGGGCCTTCAGAGCGGGCCGGCTGGGGGCACCGGGCTTGTCAGGTTGGGTGACGAATTCCACCGCCGCGCTGGGCTGACTGCGACCTTCCGTGTTGGCTGCTAGCACCTAGCCGTGGCACGAGCACAGTCACAACACAACCATCACGCTGTGAAGTGATGCCATACACTGAACAGAACATGCCTGAGACATCCATGTCCATACATGGTGCCTGGCCCAAGGAGGCTTTACCCATAATCCCAAACCTGAGGATGCTTACCCTAAACTTATAGGATGTGCTCCTTCGGAGGCCTTTTACAGTACAGGAGAGCTCCTCCCCGTTGTGTTTGGGCTTGAAACCATAGCCCTGTGTCCATGGAGGAACAGAATTTGATTAAGCCAACCCAAAAACAGCACTAAAAAAAAAAAAAAGTTAGATATGGTGCCCTCAAAACGTGGTGCAGACTTGAGCATCATCTAACCGTTCCCTCCTCCTCCATTTCCAGGGTGTAGGTATGCGCATCTCCAGAGGCAGGCCCACAGGGGGCGCTCCATTCCAGGGTCAGCCAGGACACGCCTGCGGCAGCCAGACGGGGGGGTGCTGGTGGCTGAGGAGCACTGCCAGCGGTGCAGCATGTCAGCACCTCGCTGAAAGGGCTGCACAGACACACGCAGTCACACAAAGCAGAGGTTACATATCAGTCTACAGTCATATGATCCGATTGCAGGTAACAAACCCGGCGAGGCCAGGTGGCTGGCAGGCATACCTCATCCCCACGTCATTTTTAGCAGCTATTCTGAAGGAATATTTTGTTGAAGGGCTCAGTCTGATGATCTTGTACTGTTTGGAATGCCCAAAGTAAATCTCCTTGAAGGCACTTTGCTTTCCCTAGAAAACGGGACAGAAGGAACCAGCATGATGGAAAGAAGTTCTCTACGAAAAGGTGGGGGAGCACTTGGAATGTTCAAGAGTGGGATAGAACAGACAACCTGGTAATTTCGAATAAAAACAAAGAATCTTTAGACATATGGAGACCTTGCATATCCAGCTGATTTTTTGCAATATGTAATCCATACTGTCCCATTATGAAATTCTGTTTCTTGTGCTCATGGAGACCACAGTGCTACTTACCTCATCAAACTCTAGGAGATACCCAGTGATCTTTGAGCCATTGTCGCTGGGTGCCTGCAATGTGAAGGGACACCCTTACTGTTTGGCACAGTGCTTTTGGCCACTGGCTGCGGCCTCAGGGCGCGCAAGCGGACGTCTGCGTACCTTCCACTGCAACACCAGAGAGCTTTTGCTGCGCACGATGAGCCGGGGAGGGGCCGGGGCATCCGGGGGGGCACTCTGTGTGGTGAAGCCGGCTGCCTCGGAGGGGGAGCCCTTCACGGAGCCGCAGGAGGAACAGACCCTGCGAGCCGGGGCCCAAACATGGCACGTGCACATCAGCTTGTGTCTGGCAACCAGGGAAGGGCTTGTCAGCGGACATCATGCGAAAGCTGCTTCTTACCTGACGTGGTAACCCGTGGCTGGTCGCAGGTCTTCCAGCGTGAAAGAGGTCTCCCCACCCCTGAGAAGGCACAACCATCGCATTTCTCCATAGCTGACTTTCATTCAACGCATGCATTTAAATAAACACAGATACTACAGCAGAATGATGAAGGCTCATTTCCTTGAATGAGAGTGTGTATTACCTCAGCTGAGAGAAGAACTATAACGTCACACCACTACGCATGTGAATTTGACTTTGAGATGGTGGTGTAATACTCACACATATACAGGGGTGAAACTGCCCTGAGTGCCGCTCTGAGAGAAAGCCAGCTCATAGCTGAGGATCAGGGGTGCCTGTGCACTGGGGGTGTCCACATTCCGCACGCCAGCTGGGGAGGCCCAGGACAGGTCGGCCGAGCAAGATGTAATGCTGTGCACCTGAGAAACATATGTATTTTTTACTTTATATATAATTCACACTTGAAGGCTACAGTGGTTACGGCTTAATTAGGCTTTACCAAAAATCTGTATCATCAGGCTTATCACGTAAACCTTATATTGGGGTGAGGGGCTACTCACAGTGGGTTTGCTCATGCTTGAAAGCAGCTCCATCACCGTCCTTATTTCAGTCACCACGTCTGTATGGCAGAAGGAACCAAAAAGAAAATTATAGCTGTGAAATAGACCTGGCTGGAAACGTGGACATAGCAGTCGGCCAGCAGATGGCGCACCTGCGCACGCTTGCAGATCCGAACGGACAACCTCACCGGCATTCTCTCGGTCCGGCGGCGGCGACGCCGAGGTCTTGCTGGGGAGTTTGGGTTTCGCGGGCCCCGGGGAGGCTGCTGGCGTCGCTCCGCTCTTGTTGTGCCCGTTGTGGACAGGAGCAGGGGGAGGGCCCTTCAGTGGGGATGAGGGGGGGCTGCGAGAGACCCGCACACTGCTACTGGCGTTCAGGCGGCGGTGTAGGTGCTCCTGCGGCTTTGTGGCACGCTCGTCCCGTGGGGGCAGAGACACACCATGACATGGCACGTCTGTGCAAAACACGCATGCAGAGCGTGAGAAAAATATATAAATACAGGGAAGTTAAAGGAAACACACTTTAAAAAATTTAACCAATGGAAGCAAGCAGAACATTTGGGCAGATGCTTGCAAGACTCTCACCCGGCTCACTGTACATCTGTGGAGGGGGAAGCTGATGAACAAAATGGGGGGGCATCTCCCTGGGATAGATGGGGTGCTGGTGAAGCATCGCGGGGTGGGGGTGGAGGTACTGTGGCACGTGCAGCGGTGGCAGGGGCATGGAGGGGTGGAACTCGGCGGCATGGGGCAAAACCACCACTTTCCGCATGCCGTTCTCCTCCACCACCTGAAAGGGCAAACAGCAACGCAGTCAGGAAGGAAAGGCTGAGCTCTGCCTCAAGGAAACAGTTTACAAAAGGTGATATGGGTGTATTTTATAGTAATCTGCAGGGTGACAGAACTGCTTTGTTTAATGGAAAAAAAAAGTCACAGCTAAATATATATTTTTTTAACTCCTTAGGCTAGGCCATTCCAGAAGGTGCTTAAACTGACACACACAATAGAGAATAAAAATAGCACTTTTGCAACTCATACTATACTTATTAGTTTAAAGGAATCCCCAGGCTCACAGAGCAAAGCACATCAGAGTATGGAATTACACACACAGGACTGCTACTAACCTGAGACATATAGCCAGGAGGCACAAAGATGGGAGGCATGGTGCCATTGGGGGAGACCATGGGCACATGTGCTGGACCTGGAATTACCAGATGGAGGTCAGCACAGAAATAAAATAAAAACAGGCAGCATGTCAAAAAGAGGACCAGGGAACATGCAGGTACTCAGCATTTTGTGGAACCAAGCCCCACCTGTGATGCATTGGACATGCCCATCCTCTGTACGGATCGTGAAGGTCTCCCCAGGATTCACCTGAACCAGGATCATCTACAGGAGAACCGAAGAGCACATTCATGCAGACCACACATGGCAGAGACTGTGGAAGACGGCGGAATGAGTCAATGTCAGCTATACAGAAGACAAGTCCATTGCAAAATACTTTCATCCCTGAATTATACTCATCAACAACAAAATAAGCAGGAAACTGGAGATACGTTTTCTAATGGATACTGTCAGAACATCTGTGAGATGTATCCCAAAACAGAGAATCCAATCACGTACACAGATGGCAAAAGTGATAGTGTTCTATGAGCCACGTAACAGGCAGCAAGAAAAAATCCCTTTGGACAGAGTTATCTTGCTCTGTGCAATCAAGAGGCCTGTTTGTCTTCAGTGGCTTCAATGGCGAGCGGTGGGCTCAGGCTGCATTTGGCAAACACTGGTCTGCCCTGGGAAATGTACACCAGGCCTGATGCTGCACTGCACGGACCCCCCCTCCCCCAACAACAAAGCGCAAAACATGCCCCCCCCCCGCCGAACACATACTGCCTGCATCCGTTTCTGCAGTCAGTGCACCAAAACTATTATGAAATCTCAAATCCCTGTACATGCACAACATACGCGTATACTACCATTGTGTGCAGGTGCGATAAGGAGCACAATCTTCTGGATTCACCTTACAGAAGGCACTCTGTCAGAGTGATAAACTACAACATACTCCAACTAAAAATCCAAACATTCCTTAAATTCCCATTACAAAGAACATCTAAACTAATCACTCATTAATGTTTCAAAAAGTGAAAACTCAATGGAAAACCTGCAGATAATTAAAACCTTAAATAGCATGACTTCCTGATGTCAGTGATATTCTGGGACATGAATACAAAAATCAGATAAGTAGTCTGAAGTAGTCTGCAAAATAATTTTTATAGGACTGGTTCACCCTCCCTTTACAAACAAAAAAAACAGTGGTAAATGCACTCGAACAAATACAGCAAACAGCACGGCAGAAATACAGTTAAAATAAAGACCTGACACAGGCTGGCAACTGGCCAGAGACATACAGAAAATGTAAAAGTTATAAGCAAATATATTCAGGAATCCTCGAGCAGATTGAGGACATTACTTTTTGCATAACAAGTTTGGATATTGCCACCCAGTAGGGGCAACAAAAAAGGTGTTTTCTGCTAATAAACAACACCCTCCAATAGACCAACTCTGACACAAATAACTGCACAAAGATAAACAGCCTAAGTATGTATACTTTGATAAGCACTGTTGCAAAGCTCCCCTGGGGCACTGATTTGTGAGGCTCTGGGCAACCGGAATGAGTGAGTGAATGTGTGTGTGTGTGTGTGTGTTTGTGGACACAGTGCGGGAAGGGGGGAGAATGTGAAGAATGCAGGATACAGACGGTGCAAGAGGGATAAAACTATGCAAGGAATTTGCAGTCCAGCCCCCATGCCACTGCCATTCCTGTAAGCTGGAGCCTAAATCAAACTCAAGCGTGGGGGTGTGGGGGGAGGGGGTTAGGGACACAGATGCAACTGATTCTATCAAACAGCTTAACAAGGCCAACGCTGAAACGCATGCACAAACTATTGATCAGCAGGAACACAAACTAAATAAGCCCTCGGGACCCCTTAGGCTGTTCCGTAACACCTCTGCATAAGACCTTAAAGGTGAGTGTGTATATGAGGGGCTGTAATAAGGATGTCTGTGGAGACGGTATGGACATCACAGGCATACAACGATGGTCAGGCTTGTGGGATCAATGCCAACCACCTCACCACAGAAAGAAAGGCAACAGGGAGCCCGCAGGGACAAGCAAAAACAATACTTATAGAATATGTTTAAGATGATGAACAGGAGAAGTGAAAGATGGGCCCCCGAGGGAAGCCTCACCCCTTCCCTCACAGTGCTAAGGGTTCATCTTTACAATGCAGTCCGGCCAACACCAAGGGGAAACCCCCAGGATGACACTATGAAAACCAAGACTCTATCCCTGGATACTTTTCACATTAAGCTGAAGGTTCCTTCTTATAGGTACAGGCCTCAGAAGTCTCCACAGCCTTACTGAGTTCCAGGTCTCCACCAATCTGCCTGAACAATAACTTCCTTCACCCTCAACACTCACACCAAAACTTCAAGTCAAGTTGCAAACTGAAGGGCATCCTTGAGTAGACAGACTGACAATTGTGACCAAAAAAAGTGTCAGACAACAGCAATTTAAATTTTCCCAATAGACGAGTCCTTTAAAAGCCACATAGAAAAAACTTCTTCATATGGTATTGTGTATGCTCTAAAAATGTATAACCTTTTCCTAATCATCATATGACAGAACAGCTGTCTAAACAATGTTGGTAAACAAATACAAAGCATCAAAGTTCCCATAAGTAATCAACTCTCATATCAGCTGTACAATCCAGATTTATGATGCAAAGCTTATATCCGTGTAAAGGAAAATGGTAACTGGTAATCCGCTGACCACTCTGTTACTTTTTTTTTCCTTTTTAATTCAATGGCTCTGAGGGGGTGGGCCATCTCGGGAAGGGGAAACAGGTGACTACAATTGAATTCAGGCCACCCACACTGGTCTGTGGATTCAGTTTTAATCTTGTGCATGCTGGGTTTTTTGTACCCAGTAACTGCAACAGAACATCTGCCATTCTGAATCTCACGGCAACAAAGTCCAAGTTTTACCCTCCCACCCCCCACCCCACCCCCACCCCCGTTATTCACATGCCCTAGTTTTCCCTCTTACCCACTGAAAAGACTATGTTTCTTCTGTTTACTTTCTGTGTTGAGCTGAACCTGTCCCTGGCCACTCCCTGGGGAGCAGTAGGGGTTGCAAAGGCCCCTCCCCCAATAAAGGCGCTGCTGATGACCCAATCCCCACATCACGTGTTCTGCTATCCTGTTGAAAGCCGCTCTCTAACTAATTAATGGCAAGCTGAGAGCAGTTCTAAAAGCACTGTTTGCTTTCTTTTTATTGGATAGAAAGGAAAAAAAAAAAAAAAAAAAAAAACACCCCCCAAAACACTTCTCCCACCCCCCAAGCATGGCTGTGTATAGGAGCACGATGTGCAGTGCCTGGTTGCTTTCTCTGTGGCAAGCAGGCCGACAGGGCCATCCACACTGTTCCGGATGTGTGCACTTCCAGCCCGCCTTCCCCCCCCCCCCTTCCCCCGGCTTTACTGGAAATGGCGCTGGCAAGGCGCTCGCCTGTCAGGAATGCAGACGGGGAGCTGTAGAGGGCTTGTGGGGGTGGGCAGACTAACCAATAGCCCTCTCCCCCTTTTCCACTCTGCCTGCACCCTGCCCAGTGGGAGCCCCGGTACTGAGGGGGGCAACAGTCAGGGGCCATCTGTTTGTGCAAAGAAAAGTCTTGTTTTTAATCCTTTCAATAGCAAAACAAGCATCTGCTAGTTGCATGTGCAAGCATTCCTGCGTGCATGCTTGCACCATTCAGTGCATTTTTGTGTGTGTGTGCGTGTGTGAGTGTGTGTGTGAGAGAGAGAGAGAGAGAAAGAGAGAGAGAGAGAGAGAGAGAGAGAGAGAGAGAGAGAGACAGCATGTCTGTCTTTCTGTTATTCCCAGGTTTCCTTCTTAGGTGACAAAAGGAAGTGGTCGATTAACTGTTGGGATAACTTCCACTGCTGATTTGCTGCCTTAAAGGTTTGGACGACACTAGGTGTGTCCCACTTTGGCTTGCTTTTCAAGGAGAGCAGTGGGTGGCACAAATTACCAATAAGAATGAAAACCACACTCATGTGCACAGAACGCTTGATTTAAATCACCACTTCCAGTACATCCTGTCGGAATGGTTAGGTAATTGCAGTTTTGCAAGACATGCCATGTTTGAGAGACACAGGAGAACGATTTCCTTGTCAGCAGCAACAGAGGCACCACATCAGTTTTACTCAAGTCAATAGTTTTTTTGTAAGAAATTCTGGTTATGGGGTTGCAGGACTGTTATAAATCTAATTCTTGTCCATTTAATTCCCCTAGGACACTTTTACCTCAGTCACTCCTACAACAAAGCTTCATATTTCATTTATCCTACTTGAGGAAAAAATGTTTCTTAATTGACCACTATCCTACATTTCCATCAGTGTTGAACTGATGCCTGGATGTAGTAACAAGCGTGGGAATTTCATTTAAAAGTCTCGGAAAATGTGCATCATATAACCCATACGTTTCATCCAATGGTTAGGGGGACGATGAGCATTTTGTACAGTTCAGATTCATTCAGAAGAGCATGTTCAGTCCAACACTTTAATGCAGGCATGGCTCCTCACCTGCTGCATGCTATCTCCATTGAGCATGTGAGGAACAAGAGACACGTCAGACAGCATGGGCGTGGCCTCCAGAGGGGGGTGTGGCTGGTCCGTCATCATGGTAAAGCAGAGCATTCATTGACACCAGCTCCTGAATAGAGGTGGAAGGAAACAAACGATATGTACCATTACAGTAGGTGGTTCCACAGAAGAGAAAAAGTATAAGCATGCCAGCAAGAACAGCGCAGCCAGACAATTGGTCAGAATGACAAGTGTCAGCATGAGCAGGTGTACTGTAATATCTCTCTGGTCCTTAATATTGTGCTTCAACCCTTCATTCACTACCTTCTGGAGTTGATGACCCTATGTACACAAATAAAAACACAGCCTGGACTGTAAACAGGAAGCCCCCATCCACTATAAACATACACATTGAGATGATAGATATGCAGATGTACATAAAGCAAGTACTCCCAGTAGATCTATAAAATCCCCCTTGGTGCTGCAGCTTACTCCTGAGCAGAGGAATGGGGTGTCAGAGTAACAGGGCAATCAAATTTCTCCTTCCCTCCCAGGAGATGAGGGTAGCTCCCTGTCAATTGCCTCCACTGTGTTCGCTGACCCTGTCCGCCTATCAGCTCACAGCAACAGACATAACAATCCCATGGCTCCCTGGCCCAGGGACACTAAACATAACAGTGCTCAATGGTACGTTCAGATCGACAGCCACCTCTTAAGAAAGCTTATCAGCAAAGCTCGAAAGAACCCATGGGTGCACAAATTTAAATTAATCCTTCAAATTCTTCATAAAGAGAGACAAGACACTTGTAAGCATTTTGCCTTCAAAAGGGCCTTCATCACAAGGTTAAAGTTGCTTGGGAGGAGACCTCACTGCATCCTCAATACCAAAAATGGACTGGAAAATACTGGCAAGGGTGTTGAACAAAAAGGGCAGCACATAAAATCATTAACACACTCCCTTTAGCAGACAGATCTACCTTACATACAACACAACACACAGGCACCTCTGTAAATAACTGCTCATTTAATGTTGCTTTCAGTGGGTTAAGGAATATATGACCAGGCATTTGGAATGTAGTAAAAGTGCTTTATTGACAAAAAAATACAGGTCCAGAAAAGTCTGTCTGCCAACTCCATTGAACATGACAAGTTCAAAGACTGCATTTCCCCCTCCACTTGTGGCAAGCTTCTCTCCTCAAAGAGAAACCCTGACACTGCCAGGCACCCCCAATACCACCCCCCTCCCATGTGGTCTCAACTTCCATACAATAAGTCTTTGAGACCCGGCATCCACATGCCCACCCACCCCAGGGATTTGCTGCCCATCCCAGGAAACTGCCCTACAAATGCCAGCTTTTCCATACTGCTCTGATTTTTTTTCCCCAATAAATGTCACAAAGCAAATAATAAATATCCTGCAGGAACAATGTTTGCAAACACTGTGATGATCATAAATGCCCATGTCTACGTGCCCTCTTTGGTACAACAGACCTCTGTGAGCTATGCCACCTACAGGATGCCCTGCCCACCCCCAGGCAGGAAGACTGCAGCTACAGGAAGGAAAAGTCACAGGAGAAGACAAAAATGAACTTTAATCACTTGGGGGGGAATGGGGGTGGTGGCATTTTGAAACACCACCTCCACTACTAGTTTCCAAGCATAGATTGGCAGATGATGAACTAACTCATCCTTGACACAGTTCTCCCAAACAGTTTGAACAGACCAATAATAATTAAACTCAACAGTTCTTCGAGGATCTAAATAGAACTAATAGGTTTTGCATTTAAGTTAACCTTATAAGGACTTCTCTTTCCAGTCTAATTTCATAGAAAACATCAGTAGCTAAACAAATGGAAACACTACTTTTCTATTCCTTTGAGAATATACAGATGAAATTTAATTTCATATCTTTAAAGTAAGATATGGTAAATTCAAGAGAGCAGTCATTAAATTAACATAAACCTTTAAGTCCCCTACCATACACATTATGCCAATTAGTGAGGCATACTCGCAAACATTAAACCAAAATAAACCAATTAATCCCCAACCAGAAAGAACATCTATTTATAACCACAGCCTAAATTCAAGTCTTTTTGCTGAATATAAATTCTCTTTTACAATTCCTTTTATCTTAAATAACTTTAACATAACGTATAATTGACAAGTGTGTCTCAACTGACAAAGAGCACTAAGAACAACCAATGCCACAATCTTGACCACGCTAAGAAAATTTTAAAGTCTAGGAGGGCAGTAAGCACAAGATGCCTTGTTTATAGCAGAAATTAGAAGATCAAGACAGGGTATCACTTTTCCCATATTTCTGAGGTCAGCAGCCCCAAGTGAGCACTTCCTACTCCTTATAATCCTTTTTTCTAAACTAAGCAAGAAGATGACAAACTGCAGTGAACAAAAAACTGGGACTGTAAATATTCACAGAACATTTTTATCCCATTTTTCACATCCTGAGAAACCGACCACAGTTTCCTGTAACATAATTAGCTGCATGTCTTTCCTCCTGTGCACCTCCGGCCTGCACTGAATCCAAAGGCAAACGGGTCACCCCAGGAAAGATGCAGGAGGCAATGCCCTGCGGTTGCATCTTCAATAAGTAAACTGTACACCAGTCCCTTGCAAGTCAACTTAGCATCAACCTGACAAGCGCTTCAAAACCATTTTATCCCTTCACTTCTTCTTCTTCTTCAAAAAAAAAGCCTCGGCTTCCTCTAGCATGCTGGCTTATGTACTTTTAGGACTCTTTTAAACCTTCCGTTGCAACTAATGTTCTTCTGCCCACCCAAGAAATACAAAACAATAGCTAGAGGCACGTAAATAAAAATAATTAATACCATAACACTACTACATAGGATTATGAGCTACCTATTGAGCTGAAGCTGAGTTATAAAGAAAAGCAATTTACCCAATCCGGGTGTACTTGGGGGAAAAACATTCCAGTGAGTTGTTTGAATAGTAGCCCAACAGTCTAGCCATCCTGTTACCATCAGCATGCATTTCGGCAAGACCTTACATTGCCTTGGGGAGTCTTTATCAAAACACTGGGATTATTAAACCCACTGTAAACTGTGGATCAATTAGATTAAACTCAACCTCTGTCTCAATAATCATAGTAGTAGAATCAATTTGGCAGTTCAGGCTTTACTCCATGGGTCCATTAACACACATCTATTCTCAGTTCTCCATCTCCATTGTATTCCACATATCACGCATGGCCTTGCTACATTTTAGATTAAAATATCAACACCATTCAACATTCCTATTATTCCACAAGTTACCTATTTTCATAACATAACCCCTTCAATCCCCACAAAAAGAAAAAAAAAAAAAAAAACAGAAAAATTCTTACTGAATTTCTCCATCACAATTTTTTTCCTTGTTTCAGGGACAAATACTGCAAAAATGCATACAGTGTCAAAATAATCACGGAAACAAGATTCAAAGTTGTAAAAACGTAACATATACCTGGGCACATATAAAGCATAATTAAAAACTATAGCAAGCGTATATATGTGCATTACGTTTCACTGATGATTTCTTAATTCATTACAGTCACCCATGCATTCATGCATTTTTATTAAATCCAGAATGTCTGGATGCTCCTGCTGTACTCCATGCACACGATAAAATATCACTACTATTTTAGGGCACCAAAAGCAGTTTTATTCTACGTACACCTGCTCATTTTACTTCACATAATGTGTGAGCCTCCCAGACAGCAGTTAGGATCATCTGAGCTACGAGATCAGGGAGGACGCCGCCATCATTTTATTGCATCACAGTATAATACAACGTCATCTAATGAAAAAGCTCCGCCAAAGTAGTTATAAAAGACGATAATGCATCGTCATCTTAAACACTCTGTCAATAAAACGAAAACTCGGGTCACAGATGGGGTCTCGGAGTAAAAGGGCATTTTCGCACGGAAATTTACCCAGCTGACATCGCTGACCAATTTTCCATCATTGAGAGCATACGTGGCATTTACCAGACAATGCTAAAATGGATATTCCCGTGCAGCAAACTACCATGCTAGCATTCAATCTCCCTTTCAGCAAACGGTTTGGAATTTTTTTTCGTAAAAATAAATGTTAAAACATATCGCATTACAACTCACAAGATTAAAAAAATACTGTTTATTCTCTACAGCCAAAACCTCGCCACATAATCCTATTGGCTAACCACCAGCATGGATTAAACTGTTTTCACATAAAACATTCACAACTGAGTCGCCTAAAAATGTTTCTTAATTCTAACAAATGAATAATTAACAACGTAAAGTGCTTACTTTTATTGTTGGGTAGCTACAGCTAAATAGCCAGCTATCTCCCAGTACAAAAATAAGCTAATAAAAACTACAAAGTAGTTTAAGAATATGTATTTCAACACGTGCAACTAGTTAGACACGCTTTTATTATTTGTAAGAGCTTAACGGCGCGTTTTACCTGCTAGGGAAGATACAGTGACACATTCCCACCACACATCCCCAAAATAATGTTTAGGCTAGCTTAGCCCACGTAGCCGATTCTAAGAGAAAGAAAAAAAACTAAAAAAAAATCCTGGCGTACACTAAAACGAAATGCCCCTTTCTCGGTCCTAACTAGCTATTTTACCAGTTGGCCGAATTTAGACACCGTTTCGTACTAGTCGTCCTGCACGCGAGCGTCCCGAGGCGTCCCACGCACGCGACGGAGCGGCGGATAGCCGCCTAGCTCGAGACACGGAGACTATCTAGAAAATCTCTGATTACCGCAGTAATGCCAGAGTGCAGCAGGCGGCGGGGAACACTTCGGTAAAGCTGAGCTCTCATGTGATTGCTTAGAAAGCCAGCAACGAAGTAACGGCAAGAATGCTTTTTTTGGTACGCCGAGACAGTTTTTTTTATTTCCCTTTTTTTCCTGCAGCGTATTCCCGTTCTCTTCCCAGTTCCTGACGGGAATAAACTGAGACTGACGCACTGTGCCTTGCCTACACCGCCATCACGCAGTTTCCACGAGCATGCGCAACTCGGGTTTACGAGGCGTGAGCCCCTCGAGCCACCCGAGGGTCACTAGGATGACGCTCCCGCTACAGCGCGTTCTATGGTCCTGCACTTGAATCTTTTGAAGGGGTCTGCAAGATTCAGCGCCCCATATCTATTCACGTTCTATCAGTGTTTTTTTTTTTTTTTTTATTCCAAAAGCCTACTGGATTTATATAATACAGTATTTAAAATTAATTTTAAATAAATCGATCAATTGTATACATAGCCATAAAGAAACGTATCATGTCCTTCCTGCATTACTGTAGTGATGGATCCTGGGTGTGCGCCTATAGAGAGAAAATTTCTGTTGAATGAAGAAATAAAGCCCTGTTCATTTCTGTCATTTATTGTATAGTGTACCCGTAGAAATAAACCATGTCTCAACTATTTACGGTATTGATTGTAGATTTGTTATATCTATTTTTTCCATATATTATGAAATTCTTCCTCCTATCACATTTGTAACTCTTCAAGAAGTCGAATAGGTCTCTGGACCTTTTAATGTCCCATATTAATAAAGGACCAATGAGAGCACACTGACGATCGCAAAACTCTACTATTCATTTTCTCCACCTGATGGCAGAAGTGCACTTTTTGCCATGGTTTTGGTTTATTCCTTATCTTGCAGCTTCGTTTGTGCATCACTTTCCTCTATCTCCTTTTATTTTCTTGACTCCAACCACGTTTTCATTTCTGTCATTTACTCAAGACAGGAAATACACTTACCTGAAATGTACTTACCTGTAAGTAATAAAAAGTTCTAACGAGAACATTTTAAAAATGAATTTGAAAAAGTACTTCTTTACGCAGCGTGCAGTTAGAGTATGGAATAGTTTTCCTGCTAGTGTAGCGCAAGCTAAAACCCTGGGTTCCTTTAAATCAGAGCTAGATAAGATTTTAACAACTCTGAGCTATTAGTTAAGTTCTCCCCAGACGAACTTTATGGGCCGAATGGCCTCCTCTCTATCGTTTGTAAATTTCTTATGCTCTTATGTTAATATTGAGTAACAGGACAGTAAATGTGGTGAATGAGAGGGACAAGCTGGAGCTCTAGGTACAATACAATGAGGACCAACAGCAGCCACATGCTGGCTAGATAACTTGCAGTATAGTGGAACACAGTCAGGACTAAAAGGTTGAATCTGTTCTTCAGCAGATTTGACTCTCACTTGCCAATCCAGCCTCTGTGTGCCAGTTGAGGAGACTTTGGGTGCATCACTGCCCCCTACCTTCACATCTCCCTGAGACCTCCCCACTGAGGACACCACTCCCTAAGTCTCCTGCCCCATCCCACTTCTCACTCAGTCTGTTACTGCTGACCAGGTCAGGAAAGTGCTGGAGAAACTCCACAAAGGCAAGGCTGCAAGGGCTGCTGGAATCACTTCCACGGTGCAGAAGACATGTGCCAACCAGTTTTGCAGGGTCCTTCTACACCTGTTCTTCCTCTAGTACTCCTAAGGACTACAAATCAGTTGACTTTTGAGACACTGGTCCTGAATCAGCTGTGACCCATGGTCACAGACCACCTGGATCCCTTGCAGTTTCCCCATCTGGCACATATAATTGTGTATGATTCTCCAATCTACATGCTCCAGAGAGCCTACACCCACGTGGACAAAGCAAAGCACCATAGTCAGGATTATTTTCTTTGAGTTCTCCAGTGCCTTCAACAACATCCAGACTCACTGACTCGGGAGCAAGTTCAGGGCATACATTTGTGACACTCCAGGACTGTGGATCAGAGATGGTGGATCCCGTCTCCCTCCTTGCAATGGACTTACAGCAAAGTACCAGCTCATGGCGCCCACAGAAGGTCTCCAAAGACTCCTCCATTGTATTGACAGTAGTGGTAAGTTGGTCCAGGAGGTTAGTGGAGGAATTTGTCTTATGGTTCAGGCAGAACATCAGCAGAAGAAAAGGAGTTGGTTGTAGATTTCTGGTGAGACCATTCACTGCCTGGTCTATCTACGTAAAAAGCTATTAACATGACACACGTGTTGTGAAAGCCAAGTACAATTTTTTGAATGTGAAAAATGCCCAAGTTCATTCAAAGCAGTTTTATTGGTATGCCACAAGTTGCTGATCAAAAAATCTTGTACAAATCATACACAATCAATGAAAAAAAAAAACATTACTGCAGCTAAATAACATCAGTGTGTATAACTTTGCATTTTGGTTCCTCATTTTGAAAGCTGTTGTGAAACAGGTGAAGGCATGTAGAAGGGCACACTACGAGAAGGAAGCTCGTCTTTACATATGATCTGCTACCCCAGGCAGCACAGGGCACATGCCTGGGGTTCACCCTGGATGGGATGTCGTCATTCTGTTTGTATATTTGTAAATTGTTTTGAAGATGAGTGAGTCGATATGACCTTTTTATTTATTTATAAAGCATCCATCTTGTAACAGCGTATCGTGGTCAGCATTACAGGGTGTGCCCTATGCAGGATACTTGTACACACACATGTACACCACTTAGTGATACCTATTCATCTAACTGCACGTCTTTTGACTGCGGGATGGGATTGAAACCCTGGACCCTACAAGTATGAGGCAACAGTGATACACACCAAAGCCAGTCTTCGGGGACCCTCAGACAGTCCATCTTGTCTGGGATTCCCCGACATCCAGGCTGAGAAACACCAAAAAAGCTACAATACCACCCAGACAAGCACATAGCACCTTGTAAAAATAACTACCCCTATCTTGATGGAAGGTGGGGAAGCCGGACAGCATGTGCAATTACCACACACACGTATCCAAATCTGTACTCTCGCTGTGTTTCCTGTCGCAGCTGTTTAGTTCTTGAATTACATCCCGATTGCATCCCGGCAGGTGTAAACCTCGGACACATGTGTGTCTTATCAACTTCCAACAAAAGTGAACCCAGAGTCACTACTGGCAAGGTGCAGCTGCTTTAGTGACAATTCCCAGTTTAGAAATGAAACAGGAAGCTTAGCAGAATAAAAAAGTAAGCATATAACATTGCTGGAGAGGAAAAAAAGTCACTAAGGTCATCCTTCTATACACCAAGTAAATTCTCTAAAAAATTATACAGCTTTTCAGACAACCAAAATCAGAGTACTTTGACTTAAATTTAACACATCTGTGTAAACATTCAGGTTACCTGAATTTGATACTAATTGCCCACATTAAATACAAATGATGCCAACAAACATAACATTGAAGTTTCATTTACTATATTTTGCAAGCTTCCATATGAAGTATTTTCATTTCTGATTGCTCTTCATATCACTGGCTAAACCAGCAGGACCAGGTGCAGGACAGACAGTACTTTCATAAATGACTCCCACAATCCCACATAATAATTGGACAAGTTACAATTTTGAACACGGTTGAAGTGATCACTCATTCATATTCACTTGTTAAATATATCTAATTTTATGACAATAATATACACACATTTTTAATACATGACATTGACTCCACCGTGTATTTATAAATACACATGCATACATTTACACAAGGTAATAATGTTTGCAATCTTCATCTAAACGTCAAAGAAGAATCTGAAATGCTAACAAACATATAACCCTTAAAACTGGAAACCTTTCAACAAAGGTTCTTGTTCACGATAATCAAATGACTATTGAGATAACATGACCACACCATAAACAAACCTAAGGTCAATTTCCTGAGTTAGTTGCTGTTCCTCAAACAACCACATACCAGAGTCAGTGGGGCAAATAGGACTTTTGAATTGGGGGGGACCAAGGATATTTTTTCCTTATGCAAAGACGGCAGATGCTGTTTTTTCGTCCTGTAAGTGGGGGGGACGGATCGAGGTCACTCTGAATCCGAAGGGGACCCATCCCATCCGTTCCTGGTGCTAACTGTGCGCCTGACCAGAGCTGCTTTATATGCCCTAAGTGTGAGATCCTACAATTTCAAGACTTCAGTGAGACGCTGCTTTTCAGATTGAACTGAAATCGTACCACATTTCCTACCAGTATTTCTACCTTCTGCCTACAATGTCTACCATCATGTGCTTCGTCATTACTTCATCATCTACTCTTCAGCTCTCCCGAGAGTTTTCAAAGTGTTCCAGCATATTCTACAGTTGCCAAAAAAAAAAAAACCTGCATGGATAAATTCTTCACGTGGCCCAGCCCTCCTACACGAACAGCCCCTTTGTTCTCTCTTCCATTCACCTCCAGAGCTTGGAGATGCTTAGCTAGTTTCCCTGTGGGCCATTGCAAGCCTGCAGCTTGTCCTGCTCCTGCTCAAGAGCTTCAGGCTCGCAAGCCATCCTGTGGCGGTGCTGCGTGGCACTGACTGAGTTTTTCCGAAAGGTGGAGACACGGCGACGGAAGTTCTCCCCGGAGAAGAAGTAGAGCATGGGGTCGAAGCAGGAGTTGGAGGCAGCCAAGCAGAGGGTGACCACCACAGACTTCTGCATGTAGATTATGTCCTCACAGGAGGTGTCCTTGTGACCCATGACGTGCAGGTGGACAGTACGCTGGATGTGGTAGGGCATGAAGCTAACCAGGAAGACCAACATCACGATTACAATCATGCGGATAGCCTTGGTGCGGGTATGCCTCTGCTTATTCATGCTTGTGGAGCTGGTTAGCAACGCGCGGATTATCCCTACGTAACACAGGAGGATAACCAGGAAAGGAATGATAAAACCCACCACTAAGGAAATATAGTTGAGTGTCTTCAGCTTTTGTAATCCCCCTTTCTGCTCTGGTGGCTCAAAGCACTTGGTCTTGTTGGTAGCTGGGTCAGTGTAAGTCCCACTTAGGAGGAAGGGTGAACTGGCAACACAGATGAAAATCCAGATGCCAGCACAGACGAATCGAGCCTTGCGCTCGTTGACTAGTTTAAGGTTCTGCACCGGGAAGACGATAGCCAGGAAGCGGGTGAAGCTCATAGCCACCATAAAGAAGATGCTGCAATAGAGGTTGACGTAGAGGGCGTAGGAGCTGATGCGGCACAGGAAGTCTCCGAGGTACCAATGGCCTTTGCTTACGTAGTACAAAACACGCAGAGGTAGCGTGGTGACACACAGCAGGTCAGATACGGCCAGGTTTATCATGTAGACATGAAATGCAGACTGCTGGACGGAGGTCCGGATCAGCACGAATAAGGCAAAGCCGTTTCCCACCATGCCAAAGACAGTTATAATTGAATAGACCGTTGAGTATACCTTGTTGCGGAAGTCGTCAATTGATTCACATGTGCTGTTTCCAGAATCCATGGCTGCATGCATTGGCCTATGGGGTGAAATAGAGAATCCTCAGTTTGGAGTATAATTATTACACATACGAATAATTTTTACTTTGTACACTTGTATTTATTATTACTTAAGCATCAGGCTGCGAGGAGACATGCAACTAAGCATTTCACGGTATTTTAGTACATCCTGTACTTAATACATATGACAATAAATCTTGCATCTCTTAATATTTTTCTATACATCTTTCAACCGAATGTGGTTAAGTTCACAGGGCCTGGAACCTATTGCAGGAAGCTGGGCTGGACCTAGGCTGGAATGCCAATCCAATGCAGGACACTTAAACAAACAACCAAACATTACTTGCAATTCAGAGACATGACTTATGGCTCTTTTTCAGTGGCATACAGGAACCAGGCTGTACCCAAGTTCCAGCTTGCTTTGGTTTTCCACTGCAGAAGGGTTGGCTCGGTAAAGACATTGCCGGGATTGGAGAGCGACAGAGACATAAAATCGAAGAGATAATTATTTATTGTTCACATGGTGTACATGATGATTTACTGTGTGCTAATTTCTGCTAGCACCCCCATGAGAATCACCATGCTATGTTAGCTTCAAACACTAGCAGAATTAGAATTAGCTTGCATAATTTTGCCTTACGAATCCATTCCTTTTAGCTGTTTCGAAGTTCCGAGTTATCCGGAACACATCAATACATTGCAATGTGCAATACCACTAATAATGAATAATAATAATAATAATCAATACTTCATTAATCCCTGTGGGGAAATTGTCTTTACGCCTCCCTGAACTTGCTCTTTGTGGAGTAAGCTGTCTGCGAAGGGCAGCCACCTTCTGAGGCGCCCAGGGAGCTGGGGGTTAAGGGCCTTGCTCAAGGAGCAGCAGATGTGCTGAGGCTGGGCTTGAACCGGCGACCTTGTGATTACAGGCACACAGGCTTAGCCCATGCGTATCAACGGAGATCACTGGCATCTCAATGCATTTCAACCAATCAGATGGTGGTGATGCAATCAGCTTGTGTAATTCATGCTTTCGGCGCCTGCTAGTAAGCAAGACCATGGGTCAGTGAGGGTACGGATCGGGTTAGGGTTCCCATAATGTACAATGGAAAACTGCCTCTTTTCGGTATGGCCGGGTTCTGGGTGGCACTGCGAAAGTGCCATTAGGGTAACTGCATGTCGTTGGAATGAGGGGGGGGCAAAGCTTAAGGACAAGGAGCAAACATGCAAACTCAACAGACCAAGGACAGACGTGTGATTCAAACCGCCAGTGTTAAAGGCATGCAGTAACCGTGCAACTCACTGAGCAATGTTGCCATTCCTATTTATCAACCAGATGCTTGGCAAAACAAAAAAAAACAACGGCTGCAGTGGTTCTTCTGTGTCCTCACACTGGAACCTCTGAAGGTCCCACAAATGCTATCTACGTTATCTCTCTTCAGCAGATGGAAGTCTATCCACATAGGTCCTCTTTATATGTGGGGAAGAAAAAGAACTTTGAAAGGTAACTTCTTCTGGGGCCAAACAACGCATCATGAGAACACCACTAAGGACAGCTAGAGAAGTGCATTACTCAAACCCTGTCAGCTGACGAACACCAAATATATCTTGCAGGTACGGGGTCGGCAGGGGACCTGGAGCACAAGACAGCTGCATGCAAGCGGTAATTGGTAGCACAAGGGACAAAGATTCAAACATCACACACATAGGGTAGAGGTGGGCTTCAAAGCACGTGTGTGGTGACAGCACAACTCAAGCCACAATTCAGCTATATACTACATCACTGCTCAGTGCTATACATTTCACTGCTCAGTGCTAAAAAAAAAGACTGCAATGCCCCCACTGAGCATTCACAATTGAACCTCTGAAGGTCTTGTAAATCTTATCTCTTATCTGTTTTCAGCTGATGAAAGTAAACATCCTTTCTGCATGTAGAAAACAAAGTCATTTCTTCAGGGGCCTAACCATGCACAGTGAGAATGTCACTAAGAACAGATAAAAACTGCATTAGATAAACCCCATTGGTTCCAAAACAGCAAATTAAAACAATTTATTGTAAATCCATCCATCATCCTACACTTGTCCAGAACAAGGTAATTGTCCTATGAAAACAAAGATCTCAGGTTTCTCAGGCAGCATGGGGCACAAAGCATGGGAAAACTCTAGGTGGGATGCCAGTCCATTGCAGACCTCACATGTACACACACAATCACGTGCAATCACTATGGGCAATCACTATGGGCAATTCAGAGATGCCAATTAACCTAACTGCATGCCTTGGACCTCGGAAAGGAAACTGGACTCCTGGGAGGAAACACATGCAAGAGGACTAGCAAACTCCACACATACGTCTACATACAACACATCTACTGGCATGGATGTGATTTGTTCTTACTTACAATTAGCCCCATCCAATTACACATACAGTGCACTAATGGTCATATATGAATGAATTGGAATTAAAATATCTCAATGGCAAATAAGCTAGCTTTATTTCATCATTAATTTTAGAGTTTAGTATCTTTAGTTGACTTTAGCATACCCTAACTCTTGAGTGAATCAGTTTTAATTAACGGGAATTAATTAACATCTCTAAATTGCCCAAAGTATGTATGAATGTGTGCCCTACCATCGTCTGCTGAGGGGCAAGATGGAAATGTTCAATAGTTAACATTAGGCTAGCTACTTATGCACTGCCTGGATATATTTTGCTGAAGTGCCTTTAGTTTTGATTACAGCATACATTCATCGTAGCATTGTTTCCATGGGCTTATGCAACTTTATTCGTCTCAACATTTACTTTCATCCAGATTTGCATTCATTGTTTGCTGAGAACTTGTACCTATGACAGAAGAGTCGAACCATCCTGTAAAGTCTTCTCCAGCACATTCCCTAAGACTTTCAATGGGATTAAGATCAGGACTCTGTGAAGGCCAGTTAATGTGTGAAAATGATTCCTCATGCTCCCTGAACCGATGAATCTTGTCATCCTGGAACATTCCAATGCCATCAGGGAAGAGAAAGACGTCCACTGATGAGATAACCTGATCATTCAGTAGATTTAGGTACTCAGCTGACTTCATTTTATTGCTGCATAATGTTGCTCAGCTGTAATAATGATCCAATCATTGGCTCTTAAGTATTTGCTTATTTAAATTCTAACGGTGATCGATTTTTTTTTGGCAAGGCAGTGAATGGGTATGTGAGAGTGTGAGGTCAATGTCTATGTTAATACGTGCATACTGCAACAAATGGATATATCCCAGAGTAAATTGCATGGCTGTTATTTTTCTTCATTAATCAATTCAATATGATTCCCCTAATAGGGCCTTGATGCCGTTTCCTACTAGAACTCCACACTCCCATATCAAATTGCAGATCAGAAGAGTCTCTCAGTCTACAGATTGCAAAGCAATTGTTACAGACAAACATAATTGGAAGCAGAACATTGACCTGAGGTTTTATAGGCGATAAATACTAATCCCACAGTCACCAAACCAGACCACATGATGTTTATGTTAATACAACTTAACAATACGGAAACCACAGACTATCACCTATAATTAGAAGGTCATAAAAATTAGGAAAAACAACAAAAGTAACAGTAACACCTACCAATTTAACTTTAGAATATACATATAATACAGATATACAGCACTGGAAAAAAATTAAGAGACCACAGCAACATTTTTCGCTTATTCAGCATTTTAGCATTTAATTTGACTTATTTTTCAGTTCATCATGGGAATGCATCTGTGTAAAAAAATTTTTTTTCGCAAACTCCAGTTTGGCTCTTCCCTACTAAAGAAATATAGAGTTAATGTTAATTTTGCCCAGAATTGAATAATATGTAAAATTATTTATATGATATTTATATGATTTCAAAGTGGCAGATGTGTGACAGACTGGTGTCCAAATTTGGGCATATCCTATATTATACTGTCAAATCACCCTTGAGAAATAGAAGACTCAACAGGATTGCACTCTACATGCGGGAGGGTGTAGCAGGTTATGGTGACAGGAAATCAACATCCAGATAATCACTTGCATAAGACATGCAGACAATTGAAGAAACATGACTCAAAATTTGCCATTACATTGGTGCAAGCCACAAATTTAACCTTTGGGTTGCCGTCTTTTTCCATTTCAGTGCACGAAGTGTTCAGATAATGACCAGTATTGACACCAGCCAGTTGTCAAATCTTATGCTCTCTTTCCTTGGTATTTACCTTAGGCTGCCTGTTCCATGTGGTCCCTAAGGCTCTTCTCTCTGCACTCACTTGCTCACCACTGATCCCATACAGATCATTTGACGATTTCAACTCTCACAATGCCCTGCATCCGAGAATCAGCTCTGGCACTGTGCCTGCAACAGGGCACGCATTTATGGAAAGGTATGGATGGACTTCACACGCCACTTCTGATTCCCCTTCTGATAAATTTCCCTTCCTGCTAAAATGCTAATCAGTAATCTTCCTTATGCTTACGAACACATCATACAGTAGATATGTGATGCAATCATGTTTCAGTAAAAACAGGCTAGTATGAATAAGTATGAAATGCAGACACATATATCCTCCCATGATAAATTAACTCTACAGCACCAGTCATTATGGGTGCAAAAGTTTGGACACACCTGCTCCTAATGTAAAAGGCATTTAAGTAATACATATCAAATATTGCAACAGCCAAGAGAAGTGTTCAACATCTCAACAATTTGTCAAATTTTAGACTCTTCAAAATATCCCCCTTTTCCTTCGATGACAGCACTGCTGATTCCTGGCATTCCTTCAGCCAGCTTCCAGATGTAGCCACCTGGAATGCTTCTCCAACAGTGCTGAAGGAGATTCCACAAGCTCTGGACACAAGTTAGCTACCTTCCTCATACTCTTTGATCCAAGTCATTCAGTTCTGTACGGTTTAGGATGGGGGGATTGTGGGGGCCAGGTCTTCTGTCACAGCACTCCATGTCTTTCCTTGTAATCACTACATAACCTCGAGGTATGCTTAAGGGTTGTCGCTATCTTGTTGTTTAACACGTGATTTTCAGAAGGCATGTCCAGACTTTTGACTTGTATGGTATATATTTTATATACCTGAAAAAGATTTTGTGCTATAACTTTACATTTAAAGTTGCATTATTGTTTATTAAATAAGAAAGTTTGAATATCTCATTTTAAAATGAAACATTTCTGGTATAATGACTGTACATAGCCTATGTGTGGATAACAGGCGTTGTATTAATATTATTACCGCACAATTATTTTACAATGATGTTCCTCGGGGAGCTGTTCGAGAGAACTTTCTAATTCAGTGACTCTGACATGCATTTGTCCCGCAGAAGCTGTTTTTCATAAGCAGTAACGGATCACTAGCGTTCACCTTCGCGGAATGTGACGCAAAAAAAATAAGCTTCGAAGTCCACTGGTGTTCGAAGTTACGGGAAATTCTGTTTTAATGATTTTGCTTTCAAGACATTATGCTGCACCCATAATCGTTGCCTCCAGACAGTCTATAGTTTAGACTTCTCTTGCAAAAAATATACATTCATTAGGACAGAAAATTTCCTCGAATTAAAAAAAAAGCAAATGTAATTAATACTAAATGAAAGAGATGCTTGGTGGAAAGTAGAAGTAGCTAAAAATTATTAAAAATAAAATCGCTACTAACAAGTAAAAACTTAAAATGCACTGTGCGCGTTTGCAATGTCTAAGCAAATCAGGCGGCGTAGAAAACACTTTCTAAGTGTGCATGTTCATTTGGACCAAGTCATACCATAACACCCCTCAGGAACATCATAAGGTTTCAAGAGAGACACAATACTTTATATGCGGTATGCCTGCGAGAGCAGTCCAGAGTAATTCATCTTACCTTTAAATTTACGGCGCTTGCTCAGTTGCAGAAAAGTAGAAACGCCCGCGATCAAATGCAGCCGCTGGCTACTTCAAAACGAAAATGTTTCCAAATACGCCACAGGTCGCGATGCATGTTTCAAAGCCCATATAAAAAAATTCCGGAGTTCACGTAATATACCACATTTAAGCGACGCCCACATTACGCACAGTGAGGAGGAGAACTGAAGGAGTGCTTATAGCTGAACAAACGGCGAACAATCAGCCTATCCATCTTCTCTTAATGAGACGCGTAATTATCAGTGTCATGGTTTTGCTAAAATGAGCACTCAAGGAAGGCATTCAGTAGCAAACTGAATATAATTTGGTCATTTCCAGTAGTTAATGATAATTATGGGTGCATGCATTTAGGACTTGTACAAGGACAGCATATATATAATGCAGTATAATGCATGAACATGCTTAATATGTACTATATGCACTCATTGGGCGTGAAATTTAACTTGAGCGAAATTCAACACTATTCTACATAATGAAGTAAAGTGGCACAGCATTTGTCTGCGAATCGGTTTGTGTGCGATCCTCTAGGTCTGCTCGATCGTATTTCACTGTATTTCAAGTTAATAACTCACCGGTTAGTGGATTCGACATTATACAACATAAAACATAAACATAAAATCCGGAAAATCCCATCGATGCAGTTGTTTGTCTTACGACGGAGTGCTGTATCCATGGTTTACTCCAGTTCTGTGCCTTGTGCTGCATGAGGAAGGCTACAAGTCACCATGACCAGGATATGTAGTTAGAAGATTTGAAGTTAAGGAAAGAAATCAATAAATAAATCTTTGCCGAAAACAAACAAATAGTTTGTAAATAAATTATTTCCATAAATACATGAATAAATACATTGGTAGAATAAATAATCAAATTATCCATTTGCAAACAAATATGCATTTATTTATTTGTTTATTTTCCAGATTTATTTATTGATTTCCAGGGAGTATTTCACAAAGCAGAATTTCCCAGTTAGCTGGATAACTTAAGCCAAATGTGAAAACTGTCCAATAGGAGGAGAGGTAAGTGACACTCCTATTGGACAATCCTTACACTTATCTGACTGATATAGTTTTGTGGAATACCCCCCAGATTTATGAATTTCCAGATTTATTTATTTCCATATTTCTTCATCTATATGTCAATGAGACAGGCAGTCCTAAAGCACTACTGGCCTGTTGGACTGTGCTGATCTGTGCTCCATTATCTTGGCCTTGCTTGGATAAGAAGAAATGCTAGCTGGCATTCAGGTAGGCTACTGACAGCTAGCAGAAAAACTGAAATAATTTATGACTCCGTCAAAGACAGTGACGTCTCTGCGATTAAACAAAAATGAATGTTGTTTGATTTTTTAGCAACGTCTGTGCAAAACTGCAATTATATGCAGTGCGCCAATAACAGGGGACAGTTAGGGCGATTCCACGGGCCCCTGAGAAACAGAGGCCTTAAAAAATTTAGAACATGATATGATTGGTCTGGGTTGGGGGCCCAATATGTCATGGTTTCATGGGGCCCAAAATCTCTGACACCCATGCAAAGAAGAAACGGTGGTCATATCTTCTGCAAAAATACACTTACAATGACATCCAGACGAACTGAAATCAAACACGTCGGTAAGAACAACATGCAGAGTGATGTTTATGTCAGCCAGTTGTGGCCAGGGGGTGGGATCAGAACAAATTAAAAGTTCGCCTCAGGTACCTGAACAGGCCATGAGTTGAAACAGTGATCTATGCGGCGATTGTGGGTCATAAAACATCGTATTGCCAAAACATAGAGTCCGTCAATTTCGTCTGAAGTATATGGCCAGCCTTGGTTCAGCAGATGGCGGTTTCTTTGTGGAAGCCATTGTGTGACTAGAGACAAGTTAAGACAATTAGATCAGTTACTGTGGCTCCTGCCTGGTTCCCTGCCTGGCCAATAATGCTTTAGAAAAAACTTAGGGCTGCCAACCACGTTAACGTAAAGATTAGGAAATCTGGATATGGCCAAAACAGTGTCACCGTTCACACGATGTTGGATTGCTAAAACAAAGCTGATTCCGTCAATTTCGTTTGAAGGTGGCCACATACCTCAAACAACGTCTGGTGAAAACGAAATCGAACAAGTCGGTGAGAACAGTCTGTCGCTGCCGCCTTGTTTGTTCGGTGTCAGACCACAACCCTAGAGGGCGCAGAATGTTTTCGGTGCAGCAGTTTCACATAGTGAGCAAATAAGCACATTGTGGCAAGTGCGTGAGTCATTTTAACGCAGGTGATGACAGTTCCTTTAAAATGGAAGTTGATCCCTTTATTAACACCCATTTCAGGTTTGTCCCTTTCCTTTACTGTGTTTTATAACTTTATGTACATATACACTGTCTGGAAAGTCTTAAGCCGCAAAGTACATGGCAAAGGGAGTAACTCTCAGCACAGAAACCACTCGTCTCTACTCTGCCTGAAACCACTTGTTGGAATTCCAGCCCTTACTTCTGTGACATGGTGAGGTCACCTTGTAACACAATCCTTATTGACCACTTAACTGCAAGGGTTGCAAGACATGGGTGGAATGTGCAGGGCAACCTGACCAATCAGAGCAGACTGGGCTTATCGAGGGTGGGGCTTAATGCTCTAACAAAGTGTTTCAGAGTTATAGACAGATAGAATAGATATATACTGTATGAGAAAAATAATGTATTTTTGGCACATTGAAGCATGTAAATCTATTCTATTTGATCCCAAAAATAAAATTAACAGTGAAAACGTAATAGGGCCCCTTTAACAAACAAATGAAGAAATCTGAAAATCCATAAATCTGGAAATCAATCAATCATGTGTTATAATAATGTATTGATTTATTGATTAATTAATTACACAAATTTATTTACTTAGATCAGGCACGTGGAGTAGGGGGGGGTTGAGTGTTATGCCCCTTTTCAATCACGCTAAATTTACCGAAAGGGACCCTGACCCTTTCCAGTCCCCTTGAAAAGTCTCACCTTGCACGTGGGATAGAAGACTATTGTGATGTGACTTCAAAGACAACACCTAGAGTCATCTCTGTTCAGCAGGTTTAGGCAGTGTGTCTCTGTGGGTTTGGATAGCGGATCCCAACCCACATTCAGTGGGCAGGTACTGGTCCATGACCAGTATTACACTGGCCTGCAGAATGCTGGAGGTTTTGCGGAAGGATTGGTTAATTTCCAGAAATAAACTATATATTTTCAATTTTATACGAGCACTGACTTTCATGCATTCTGTTGACATCTAAAAAAGATGGAAACTGAGAAAATTATGCAAATGCCGATTGATCCACCAAGGCAAACAGTTTTACTAGTCCTGGATTGGGACGCTGAGTCTGTGATTGGAGGGTAGCTGCTTAAAATCCTGTCATCAGCAAAGCGATTTCATATTGGGCCATTGGGCAAGTCCTGTAACTGTAAGGGAATGGTTGACCAGGCCTTTTCAAAAACGTACAGTTGACCCTTCGACATTGCAACTTTCTCCATCACAGTTTCGATATATCACATTTTTCAGAACAGTTTATACATACAGAGCAACAGTAGGGTTAAGCCGCATAAGGTGTAACTCGGCCAAAACAATTACAGATTTTCTCAGTTGTTTACACCTTGATTGAAAGAGATCACCAATCAGTCACTTGCTGACCATCCATGCACTTTTCCTCCACAGTTATAAACACATAACAGGTGTTTCTACACAATAATTCTGATGCACACATTTTGCAAAACTATAAAACATCTGAGTATAGTTGGGTAGGCAGATTGGGTAGTATTCTGAAAAGTGTGTGTAACCAATTGAAAAATACTCATGTCTCCAAAGCAAACAATTCTATCAATGAATTAGTGCCACTCTAATGAAAAGTATGTGCATTGTGCATTAAACTAAGTTAAAATGTTTAGATATTTCAAAATGTCAAAGATTCAGAATGACAGTAATGTCTAACTTTCTCACAGTCACTGACTGATTATTTCTCTTTAGTAAGCAGATTTTTATTAATGTGAAAGCTACCAATTAAACAGTGCAAGTCTCTATATTACAGTATGTAAAATTCATTGGCAAGAGAAAGCACTCATATACATTTGTGATTTCTTCACACTGTTATTGAAATGGTCTCCTGTCACAATACAATAACAATCAAGTCACACAATGCTGTACATAAAAAACAGCAAATATATACCTGTATTGTTCTGATAGTTTGGTTAACTGTTTTGCATGTGGTGGCTTTCATGATGATTGTTCTGGGTGTACAGTTATTTCACTGAGAATCTACGTAATCCATTTTGATCAACAAGACTTAAGCAACTGATAATTATGTCAAATGGTGACAATTGGATATGGTCATTTGTTTACATGTAGTACAACATTTGCGATTTATAGGTAACAAGGCACACAAATGACTTCAGGATGTGGGGATTATGCTCATTGTTTTGGAAATGTTACTCATCATTTATTCCAAATCAAACGAGGAAAAACTGTAAACGAAGTTGCATGATTTCACAGAAAGTTCGACAGCCTACCATTTTCTTAAACACCTGTTATGCAACAATCTGAGAAAGGGCCTCTTCTTTTAAGCTATTTGATGAGCAGACAGTTAACTGTATTTGCAAAATACTTTCATGTGCAAATGAGCTGCCTAGAAACTATGAGCAGCATTTCATGGGAAATTCAGAACCAGCTATAGGGTTTGATGTCAGCATATATTCTGTGTAGAAGAACCACATTCTTTCCAGGTAGCAGTGCTCCGGTCTTAAGGTGATGTAAGGACATCTCAAACAGCCCTTTTTCAGATCATTTTCTTTATTGTATCCTTAATTCTGTTATTTTGAAGGATTGAAATCACCTGTCAATCACTAACTGTTAAGGTGGCTGTTTTTTGAAAATGGCTAAGGCCATTGATATCTGAAGAGGATTACAGGACTACCTTAAACTGACACCAAAACGAATGCATGGAAACTCATTGTGTCGGAGTTTTTACGAGATATAACATACCTTTCTTTTACACATACATTGTACGTTACTACTGCTAATTGTTTTTGTTGTGTGGTTTTGCTATCAAGACTGGCTTACATTACAAACAAATATTGTAATGTAATACAAATTTTGTAATACAAAGAATCAGGGCTAAAGAGAG